CTCATATATTTGTATGTAGATTGTTATCAACAAAATCATGATTATTTATCTTTAGCCATAATTTCCAGAATAGAAATGATTAATTCGCAGGTATGCTCCCAGCGTCAATAATTAGAGAAAAAAACAATACTGATATGTTATCAAAGCACCATTTTAATCAATCACCTATAATAATTAATAATCATATGAGTTTCTTATCAAACATGGCGGACTTCTGATTATACAGGTATTACAGGGTATATCTTCATGAGTCAGAGCGATCTATACATGGTGTCCCAGAATAACGTTCGTATATCCCAGGAGGTAATTCTACAGATAAAAATAAGAAAAATGTTTTTTTAAAGTCACAAAATTTCGTACCTGAGGGTGATTCGATTTCCATGTCTAAATAAACTCACCTACTGAATAAGTTTGTAAAATATAGTCAGTTTAATTTTTTCTTAGAATCACCTTCCGGAGTATACGAACGTTATACTTCGACACGCTGTATATGGAGAACTAATAGTACATTGTTTTACTAGGATTAAATGTGACACTTTGTTTTACAAACGAAAACAATATTTGCAATTCAAAGAAAGTCACTTTTGATCCGATTGAAACATGCTATTTTTTCTGCAATCGAAATACTTGATACCCAGTTAATAAAATATAAATGAAGGTACCACTATTTTGACTCACTTGAACATATCAGTGTCAAAAAATCTATTATATCAACTGTCATCTGACATACTTTTATTTCCTTGGAGTTAAACTTCAACTTTAGCTCCTGATCTTATATTATGGTCATAATTCAATAAACACGAGCACAAATGACATGGACAAGGGTTACACTTGCTCTTAACTCGGCTGCCTGCCGAATACTGTATGAGCCAGTCTTCACACACGTCTGTCATAGGCTCTGATCTAAGCACATTCCACTGAGCAGTTAGCGCATCTAGTTGCTAGATGCTAACATAGCAACATAAATATACTTTTTTCTGTGACGGGAAAAAAGTTTGGCATTTCATCTCTGTTGGCAGGTTATAAAATGTCACTTTTCATAAATTACTTTTTTCCCGTGGGAAAAAAGTGAGTACTTTTTTCCCGGATATATATATATACTCTGTTAATGGCTTTTGTTGTGCTATAGTTCCGAAAAATGAGTCAATAATACCGTCTCCGAGAAAGGACTGCAAGTCCTTTTATCTTCCATTCGACTTCGCGGTTTCGTATATTACTAAACAACTACTGAATTCGCTATTTTTTAAAATCAAATCACAGAATTGAACTGACAGAAGTGACATCAGATATTTGATTACTTCAAAAGAATGATAAAGATGCCTATAAAACGCAGGTGTCCCTACTATTAAAAACTTGAAATTTCACGTCGATAATTTTCAGATTTCGAAATAATGTGATATCTTCTCAATATTGATTCGTCCTTCCTTCTGTCACAGAAAAAAATAGTGTATTATACACGGGAAAAATATTAGATTTTAGCTCACGGTTTTTTGTCTCCCTCCGCTACGCGTCGAGTGACAACATAACCTGGAGCTAAAATATACAACTTTTTTCCCTTGTATAATAAATAACTATATAATTTTATTGTGGCAGTAAAAGAAACGTCAACTTCAAGAGCTTATTTTGAAACAAAAATGGACGACTTTTGAGTCGATTGCAGAAAAAGGTAGGTAGTTCTTCTAGAAAGAGTGACAAATGCAGGCTATCAAACATTTATGCAATTTTTATGTAAATCGAAATTTTTAGTGTTATGCAGTGATTCACTCGTGAATATTAAAGGTTGAACGGATCACTGACCATGATCACAACCACTGAACAATTTACAGGGTGCGCAGAAAAACGGGTCCAAAACGTGAATGTGAAACATTGGAAATGTACATATTTTCAAATGTATACCCCTTCAATTTCCTAATAAAAATGAGCCCCAGTTGCATAATAATTGGCATAACTGCCCGAAATTTTGGATGTTCTAATAGGTTGTGTAAAATACCTGTCAACAAGTGGATACAAGCTGACTGTCAGATTCATCATCTGCAAAATTGCAATATGGCTCGTTTGGGTATAATAATCAAGATTTCGTTTTATTGCATATTCGCCTTGAAACTTTATAACTATCTTAACATTCTTAACGAATTCTTTGTTATTAATTAAACCAAAGACGAGCCATTATCTGCACTTTCATAGATGATGAATCTCTTATTCATAAAAATGGTGTATGTTCGATAGCCTTCATTTCACTTCTTCTAGAAACACTCGAATATCTCAAAAATGGTTAATTTTGAATACTGTCTGTAGGTTAATCGAGGAGGTGGTTCATTCATTATTCCAAATTTTTTGGGATTTTCTACTTGTTTCTATAAAATAAAAATATGAATATTATTTCAATATACGTGTAGTAAGGATAAATCAGATGATTTGCCACAAGATGTCACTACTTTTGAAGAATTTTCCTATCAGAGAGCCTAAAAGAAAAATTCACTATCTCGTCAGTGACAATTTGTATTGAAAACAGTTTGGAGAAGAGAAATAAAGGTATATAGAAAAAATATCAAATTTTTACTTAGCTTTTGGACGTTTCGGGAACGAATCTGCTTCCCTTTTCAACATAAAAATAGTTATTCATTATACAAGGGAAAGAAGTAGTAGATTTTTCCCGTGTATAATACACTATCATTTTCTGTGACAGAAGAAAGGACGAATCAATATTGGGGCGATATTACATTATTTTGAAATCTGAAAATTATCGACGTGAAATTTTAAGTTTTTAACAGTAGGGACACCTGCGTCCTGCGTTGTAGGCATCTTCATCATTCTTTTGAAGTAATCAAATATCTGATGTCACTTCTGTTAGTCTGATTCTGTGATTTGATTTCAAAAAACTGCGAATTTATTGGTTGTTTAGTAATATACGTAACCGCGAAGTCGAATGGAAGATAAAATAAGGACTTGCCAGTTCTTTCTCGGAGACGGTATTATTGACTCATTTTTCGGAACTATAGCACAACAAAAGCCATCAACAGTGTATATATATGTGATATATATCCGGGAAAAAAGTCCTCACTTTTTTCCCACGGTAAAAAAGTAATTTATGAAAAGTGACATTTTATAACCTGCCAACAGAGATGAAATGCCAAACTTTTTTCCACTCACAGAAAAAATGGAATTTTTGTATCGCCATTTCGTATTTGAAAAGTGTCAGGAATTCGAATTCTCTTAAAAACCGCAAATTTTGACATGAATAAAACAAATGGGTAAACGTAGACCTTTTGATATGCTTTCCGCTGCAACATAAAAATAAAATCGGTTGGAAACTGTAGATTATAATTAAGGGTGCTTCCGTTTTAAGTGGGTCTCACTATAATAGGTAAAAATCATAAGACAAATACAATGTGCTATCAAAAAGTTGAGACAATCATTGCTTGTCACATATTTCTTACACATGAAGTGGCGAATCATTTATAATTATATATTATTTAAATAGATACTCATCGGTCAATAATAGTGATTAAATATTGTCTACATGATATTATTTATATCCCCGAGATAAATAAATCTAGAGAAATAGGTACCAATATTTTAACTACATGAATATGTATACTGTATAATATCACGTGTTGCCAAGTCCTGAAATATGGAACAAAAATGTTATGGATCGAGCGACAAATCCATTCATTTTCATATCACACAATGTTCCATTAATTGAGCGTGACTGCCACGGTGGGGTGTACTCTCACTGTATTCGATGTACATCCGGTATCATACTGAACAGATGACCGGAACTTCACGTCTATCTTTCTACGATCCTAGCCAGTTGCCGTTTCCGCTAGCTTTCACTTTGTTTGTTTTTACGGGGTGGTCTGAACACGTAATTTTTTTCAGCTTTTTTTGTCAACAGTTGAAACACAAGAGCTTCTTTTTAATTGGATAAATTTCTCTTTCTAACGAAAAACAGTGGTGAATGTAGAGAAAACTGTTTTGATGCAGTTTTATTCCAGAACCGATAGAAAAATTGATAATCTTCATGTTAGAGTGGATGATAGAAATAGAATTTTTTTTGAAATTTTGGGGCTTTTTTAGTCTCCATCCATGCTGAATTTTGGCACCATGGAAGTTATACAGGGGGGCTATAAATAAAAACAATTAATACTTCCAACTTCAACATTCTGTATCTCAAAAACGGAGCAAGTTAGGACACATGATTATATGAACTTTATTTGCTAGAATGTAACAAGGAAACACCCCTTGAATTTTTATGGTATTATTTAGATACACCCTGCATACATACATTCATCAACTCGTCCTGATATAGTCCAATAAATAAAGGGAAAAAGTTAACATTAATTACGCACTATTTTCATCTTCCGGTTGGAAGTAGCTTTTGGAAACTCATTAAACATGAGACAAAGTTTGACTGGAAAACGCGTGCGATGGCGGAGAAAATGGCCCCAAAAGATCAGAAAAATAGGTTTTCAGCCAATATCTCCTAAAATATGGCAGTTAGAGATTTTCGGTTCAGATAAAAATTGAAGTTCAGTAAATTTTCTACAAAAATGGTCCTTACCATTTCTCTCGAAAATTTGCCCGGTTTCGAGAAAAACGGCACGAAGCGCACCTCGAATAATGAGCTATTCTGTGTTGTATGCCGGAGAGCACAGTCCGTGTATTTACACATCGGCGGGTTGACAAAATAACTTTGTTAAAAATGCATATTTTCTCATGATTCAAAGTTCATGTGAAAGAGGAATTCTGCTGCTATCATACCCTGTGAATTGAGTCACGCTTGACTCTTTTGGCCATATCGGAACATGGGTCGAACTTTCTGCTCACGGTCAATTTTGACCTCGCCAGAAAAACGTAACTTTGCCTTTTTTTCCTCCTTTATTTATTGGACTAATACCCTATATCTTCCATTTGGCTATATGACACTCCTTATGAATCACCCTGTATGATTTCAACGATTTTTGTTAATGACATTATATCTTCTCTTTCTAGTTTGGAACATGGGAGAGCTGGTGTGGGCTCGTGACCACACTGAAGGTTACATTTTGGGACGAATATCGGAAATCCTCGATGATGAGGTTGAGGTGATACCTCTCAGTTCCAAATACCCCAGGAGAGTGCTGCCTTACAGTGACGTGTACAAAGCGATCGAGGATAGCAAAAAAGATTACGATGATAACTGTAAGTGATCAGAAAAAAAACCAATGTCTCACTTTTGATTTTTTAACTTCTACAACTGCAACTTAAGTGAATCTTCTCACTAATATTCTGCAGCAAATGTTTCAAGAAAACTTGAAACTCTGTCACGAAGTGATAGGTATTACAAATAGTTCACATACAACATATATAAGCTCGCGAGCTCAACAGAAATATTAGACACATACACTAGAATGATTAGAAGTGGAGTTAAAACTTGAGGATCAGAAGTCTTCCTTTTTTTCACACTGAAGACTTCATTGTTCGTCATAAGGAACTACTTCAGTAAAGGAGGGTTTATTGAATATTAGCTATCATTACATTATCACTAGGTAGATTATGAATTAAAAATGATGGAGCATTGGCAAAAAATTACACGTTTTCAATAATACATTTACGACCTTCCCTGTTACAATCATCAATTGACAATTATCAAGTAAGGAATATCTAAAATGTTACCATTCAGGCAAACCAAATTAACCATTAAAAATTAAAAATACCCATTGCAAAAGTCGATTCCAAGCCATTCAAGATAACCATAGAAAGTTTTTTCCTAATATTATAGACACAAATTTGGGATAATGCTATCACAAATGGGGCCAAGACTCAAGTATAATAGGAATTATGAACAGTAAAAAGAAACACAAAAATTCAATATTTTGGGAATTTGTCTTATACTTAATCAAGCATGTTGCTGTATTTGATATAATATGTATTTATTTCGGTATATTGAAAATACTCATTCAATTTCATTGTTATTAGTTCCTATACTTCTGAGTGATGGGGAAATTTTCATCACTAATTGAAATTGTCGAGGAATCAAATCAATGAAGGAAACAACATTTTTGTCGTTTGTTGTTTTAATAATACATGATCTTATTTTTAGGTGAAATGATGTTTTTGAATGAAGGGTCATTGCTGAATAATATACGTACGCGCTATTACAAGGATAAAATATATGTAAGTATCAGCGTCAGCCATCATCAGTGTGTGAATGAAGCAACACGTGGCAGTCATCGCGAAAAACAAGTAATGTAGTAATGATTTTCCTCGAATAAAAAAAATTGAGTGATGAAAATAACAAATTATCGAATAAAATTTGAGGGACGAGTCGTCCTTAGGAAGATTATTTTTTTCACCAATTTGATGAAAACACAAGCAAATTTCATTAGTCAAATCAATAGGTACAACGTCCTTCTAAAGGGTCTTTCAACAAGGACCGGTCGATGTTGACAGTGTGTGGCTGCCATGTTTTTTTTTTGGGGGAACTGTCACTGATGCCAAATTACCATGGCAAGTTACACGATCGAGCAGCGCATGTCCAAATGATTAAACTTTATTGTCAAAATGAGTGTTCGTTAGTGCAAACGTTGCGTGCATTGCGCCCATTTTGCGGCAGACGCGGTGGCCCTTCAAAGTCGACTCTCCAAAGTTTGGAAGCCAAATTCGAGACAACCGGTTCGGTAAACAACCAACCAACACCCTTACGTCAAAGGAACGCCAGATTGGCCGATAATATCGACGCTGTCCGTCAGAGTGTGCAGGAGACTCCGAGGCAGTCGATTTCTCGCCGTGCACAAGAACTAGGCCTATCGCAGACTTCAACTTGGAGAATTTTGCGCCGGGACTTGGGCCTGCTCCTGTACAAGATCCAACTGACCCAGCAGCTCAAAGTTAATGACCATAGGCAACGCCGTTTGTTCGCTCAGTGGGCTTCGGAATGTTTGGAAGACGACCCCGATTTTTACCAAAAAATAATCTTTAGCGACTAGGCCCATTTTTGGATGAATGATTTTGTTAATAAGCAAAATTGCCGTATATGGCATGAACACAACCCACAGGAGGTTCACCAGGCACCAATGCATCTACCAAGAGTTACTGTTTGGTGTGGATTTTGGTCCGGCGGTGTCATTGGTCCGTACTTCTTTGAAAATGACATTGGCGAGGCCATCACCGTCAATGGCGAGCGCTACAGATCAATGATTAACAATTTCTTTTGGCCTGAATTGAACGATATGGACATGGACGACCAACAAGACGGCGCAACGTGCCACACAGCGAACTATACAATGGACATTCTGCACGAACGGTTTGAGGCATGATGAAAATAGACTGGTGTAACCACTTGTCAATTGTTTTTTTCCAAAACGTGTAGACCGCGAAACACCGTAGCAAGGCCGCACCGGATTGATTGTAGATGGCGTAGGGAACATCGTGCCACATAAACTCCACAGATATAATGAAAATTTCACGTCTTTTTCATTAAATCAATCACTTTTACTCAATGTTTTTGAATTACGAATTAATATACGTAAATGTAAACAACAAAACAAAACAACCATTGTGTAGCAAGATCACTTCGGGAACAGCGCCATCTAGCGTTAGTTTTGCGCGGCCTTACTACGGTGATAGAATTCGACATAATCAAGTAGGCCAGAGGTCTACAAAAAATTCTAGGGTTTTGTAAGAGAGAGCTATTTCACCATACATATATCCACCTTCGTTTGAGGGTAGGGTTATCTCTCGCAGAGGTGATGTGAATTGGCCGCCAAGATCGTGCGATTTGATTCCACTAGACTTTTTCTTGTGGGGTTTTCTGAAGTCGCAGGTCTATGTTAATAAGCCGCAATCGACCGATGCCCTCAAAAGTGAACATAACGCATAACAGCTTGTTTTATTCAATTACAACATCGACCGGTTCTTGTTGGAAGACCCTTTATTATGATTAATCAAACGATTCTGAAGGTGATGTGTGTGCCATACTTTTGTGGTGACTACAGGAGGATGCAGACGTCGTATATAGCGTATAATATAATCTTTGAAAGAAACATTATATCGAAACACTATTAAAAAAGTTACCTTTTTGTTTTCTCGGAGAATTGATAATTGATTTTAATGTTACTTTTACACATAAGAAAATATGTCGAAAGAATCAAGATGGCGGACACTGTTAAGTCAGATTAATTTTGACAGTTCAATATAAACAGGGACCATGCAATTGTATCAGTATAATACCGAATGATCAGCTAGCAATATCCATTGCTATTGGTTGAAACAACGATAAAACGTCACATTTTGACATGTGGAAGAAATAATCAATGTAATTTCCCAGTCGTACGTCGCTAACATCCTGATAGCCGTCAACCCTTACAAGGACATCCCCGCCCTCTATTCATCCGCCACCATCAAGGACTACAAGGGCAAATCGCTGGGCCAGCAGGCGCCCCACGTGTTCGCCATCGCCGACAAGGCCTACCGCGACATGAAGGTAATGATCAAGGTGGATAGAATATGGTGTAATCTCAGACAGTGTTTTGTTTCTCCCAAAACGCTTGAGCGCAGATTCCGCAATAATGGCATATTAGTTCTCAGTTATCCGCAAGATAGCGGCACTTTTCACAGATTTCTTTCATGACAGAAAACAGTAAACGGCGCTTACACACCACTTGCACCAGAAATAATAACATCATAACATTCACAACAAAACCTAAATTAAATTTGAAAGTACGAAACTGTGATTTTGGGAAATTTTATTCATCATCAGTTCTACTAACCTTGAATTTTGGTTGAGATTTCGCCATCTAACGGGTAAAATGCGATCTATATTCCGCGATATTGAAAAGAACCCTACTGTCAAGTAGGCCGCCGTAGGTCAAGAATGTTGACCAAAAAACAGTAGATGAGATTTGATAGGAGTTTCTACACCATCTTCTCTTTATTCTGGTAATGATAATAATACCATCGGTGTCAATCAGGGGGGCAAAGGGGGGGGGGGGTGCAACTGCCACATCGTCGTCTAGCGTTTAACACCTGCCTTAGATCTGTACCAAAAAATCAGAATTTTTCCAAAACTGACAAAAGATAACCTCAATAATGTATATATATTTGAAATTAGAAGAAAGAGCTCTGCCATTTAGGAAAATAGAATACATACCATTTAAAAAGTATAAGTTCATCTAAAATTTTTAGGTTTACGATACTTTTTTTCATTTTCTAGTACTGGATTCTCAATGCTCATGAAAAATACTCAACTTTTGACCATTTGAACGTTTCTGTGGGACCAATATTAACTGTGATAGCTATTGAGTAGAATATTCACAATCACCCTGTTCTTAACTGACAATAAAATTACAAAAAAAAAACCGTCGCATGATAAGTGTAAAATTACATTCCTTTTTTTTTTTCTGAACTTTATAAACTAACCCGTTCGTTCGAAGCCCTGAGTGGGCAGAAGGACGATTTAGCCTTCATAGCCATCTAGTGGCTTAAGTACAAACAACAATCATACCTTGCGAGTAAGTCGTGCATATAGACCCCTACTATATGCTTACAGAAAAGACATCATGTCAGAATTCTGTAGACTATCGCAACACCTGTATTTCTCAAAGTGGTTTTATGTTTCACTAACAGATGGTGATAAACCTAGAATGTCAAGACTAAGAGATTCTAGGGATTTTATCACCATCTGTTAGTGGAACATTAAACCACTGAGAAATACAAGTGTTGCGATAGTCTACAGAATTCTGACATGGTGTGTTTTCTGTAAGCATAATGAAGTAGGGGTCTATATATGCACGACTTACTCGCATGGTATGATTGTTGAATCTACCTATACACCTTCGTACTTAGCCACTAAATGACTATGAAGGCTAGATCGTCTGCCCCCTCAGGGCTTCGATTTGTTCAATATATGGAGGTAAGTAAGTGAGTAAGTAAGTAATTTCATTCAATTCAGATAGAAAGCGATACATAATATTGATTCATATAGATATTAGACGTTAGAAAACAAGGTTCAGTCAGTATTCCTAGGAAGACGAATACGGTTTAGGCTACCTAAGCGAGCTTGTACTGTATCTAGCAACCAAAACATGGAGGTACCCTTCCTGAATCGATTGTCAGCTGACCATTGCAACTGATGAGACTTATGGTTTATCATAATCCGTTCGTTCATTCGTTCAAGGTGCTGAAGCAGTCGCAGTCGATCATAGTAAGCGGTGAATCGGGAGCAGGGAAGACCGAGTCGACGAAGCACCTGTTGAAGTTCCTCTGCGACAATTGGGGCGCGGCGATGGGCACGCTCGAGAAGAAGATCCTCGACGCCAACCCGGTGCTCGAGGCGTTCGGCAATGCCAAAACGACGAGGTGAGTATGCAACTCGAACGGATTTATATGACCCATGACAACACTATTTATTTTCACAGAAGATAATGGTTCCACCTAGTCCCTAATAATCACGTATTGAATACTTACATAAGGATCTTGCAAGTTGCTTTAGTGCCAGTAGGAATATCCTCATAATCCTAATAATGATCTAATCGAGATTTCATTCAAACACAAACTATGTTGTTATCCTGGCAACATCGTAATACTTATAGAGTCCACAGAAATGTCAAGCAAAGAAAATATATTTCTAACCTATATAACTTTCCTACGTCATCCTCGTCTGCCATCTTCATCTTCAAAGCCCATTATATAGTCACATCTAATACTGTGAATATTCAAAGATAATCCTCATATTATCTGATTCTTCAGTTGTGTTTTCTTTGTTATCTGCAGTTAGTACTCAGTGCATTAAATGAATTTAATATTTTGATTGAAATGACAATCAGAAATATTCTTGCACTTGTCTGACATACATAGAGAATGGATACGTAAATCTAATCTTATATGGTTGCATTGTATTGTTCATGGGTTATGAAATATCGTGAATTTCAATGATTATTTGAAAAATGTACAGAGCTCTGAGGAGGAAACGGTTTACGACAGTGGACTAGCAAGGGTTAGTACTTAGAAATAATGAAATAAAATTTTTCACTGGAACAGACCCATTAATTGGATGTTGCAGTCAATAATAGAAACTCTTCATGATGATTTTGGTTTGATTTCTAGGAACAACAACAGCTCTCGCTTCGGGAAATTCATCGAGGTCCATTTCGACAACAAATTCAAAGTCGTGGGCGGTCACATTTCCCATTACCTTTTGGAAAAATCGAGGATATGCTCGACGGAGGGAGAGGAGAGAAGCTATCACATTTTCTACATGCTGATGGCAGGTGCTCCTGAAGGGTTGAGGAGCCAGTTGGGGTTGACACGTCCCGACGATTTCAATGTGAGCAACTTTGTTTCTCAATTTTGTTGACATTTATTCTTGTGAGATTTCATATCATATTTCGAGTCAGTTGAATGAACTAATGGAAAAGACACCAAAGAATAATGATCCAAGATACACTACAGAAGAATTCAAATTCGAAACACTTGAAAAAAAAGTGGCGCACTTGATATTTGACTTACCTTCTTAAAAAAAAAAAAAAATGTAGGCCGATTTTAATTTTTTTTTATTTGTTGGTAGGTAATGCATTTGTCTTAGAAAAATAAAGAGGTGGACATTTTTTCAAAGCCTCCTTGATGGTGGTGGGATAACTCGAACCATGATTTATTCTAAATTTTTGACTCACCCTGTGTGTTAATTGAGTAATGGTATACAAAGTGCTTGCACCTTATACGAAAGAGGCTTCTTTTGCGAGCATTTTGTTTTTTTATTCATTGATTTATCTCTAAAATTTTCCGAATTACAGTTTTTTTGCTGATACCTTACGCTTATCCCACAAATTAAACTTATTGAAGGATCAGAGTACTGAAAATTGATTGGGTTGTACTCTGGTAAAATCACATTGTCTTTGAAAAAACGAATGCCGTTGCCATAGCAACTAAATTGTTGTATGCCTCCATATTCGACCATTTATCGTTGTGTCATTAATTAAGTGTCTTGTTTTATTGACCAAAATTACATAAAATGCCTCAAATAAATTCTGAACAAGTAGCAAGATTAGTTGCGTTAGTAAACGATGGGCGTAGTAAACGTTACGCCGCTCGTGCAGTGGGAGTTCATGAAGCAACTGCTCGTATAGCAATCCGCAAGTACGAACAAACAGGAAGCACCGCTCGGAGGGTCGGTTCTGGTCGCCCTCGAAAAACTTCTCCAAGAGATGATCGCTTCTTGAGATTGCGGATTTTACGGAATCGATCAAATACTGCGGTAAATGTTCAGCAAGATCTTCGCCAAATTCGTAAGTAAGCAGACGGTATGTAGACGTCTAAAAGAAGTTAATTCAAAAGCTAGGAGACCTGCAAAAGGTCCCAAATTATTGCCCGAACATCGTGCTGCTAGAAGAAATTTTTGTTGAAAATTATGGACAGTGGAATATTCCTGAATGGTTGAATGTCTTGTTTACGGATGAGTCAAGGTTTTGCCTTAACATGGTGGATGGAAGAAAAAGAGTGTGGAGAAGAACTGGTGAACGGTTTAGTCAAAATTTAATAACAGAATGCGAAAGTTTTAATGGTGGGTCCGTTATCGTGTGGGGAGGGATTTCAATGAATGAAAAGACACCCCTTCATGTTTTTCCGGTGAGGCAGTCGATGAATGCCCAAATTTATATTGACATTTTAGAGCAGTATGTCTTACCTTATGCAGAGTTAGTGGGCAATAATTTTATATTGATGAAGGATAATGCCCGACCATACACCGCAGCAATAGTGCGACATAATAATAATAACTTTATTCAGAATAAATAAATACAACTATATGGCTACATGATCAAAGTGAATGAAGTAGTATGTAGAGATGAGTGCAAGCATTTGTTTCTCATAAAAAAATATATATAGATGAAAAAAATGTTCGAAAAGTTGTATATAGATGTGTACATGTATGGGACATAAATAGTATGAAGATGTAGAAACTGTGATAATATATAAAAAAAAAAGTGTAAAGATGTAGATACCGGTAAAAAAACACAACAATAAAGTGCATAAGATTCGATGAAATACAATAAATTACAATAATATATCCTATCAAAATACTACAATATAATAAATGATAAATAATGAAATACAATAGATCACAATGACATACAGTTGAAAACAATTAAAAATTACAATAGAATAAAAGACAATTTGAATCTGTAAAACAGGGTACAGTTATGTATATGTTCATTTTAATTATTTTAAATCAACCATTAGATTCTATCATGGTGATAAAATAAGATCTTGGAGCAGTAAAAACTTTTTATGATGAATACAAATTTATCATACATCGAAAAACTAGTCTATATTAAAAAACTATCAAATCCTGTTGCAGTACCTCAAAATGGGCTGCACCAGATACTTCACCAGTCCCACCACCGACAAGAAGCTAGCTCCTACTCAGAAGAGCGAAGCGCACAAAAAGAAAGGCCCTCTGAAAGACATCCTTCTCGACGACATCTCGGGCTTCCACGAACTGGACGAGGCGCTCTCTCGCCTTGGAATATCCGATTCCGACAGGTATGTATACACAAAAAACGGCCGGGACTGTGACTTTTGAATTATTCGAAATATGGTTTTCAAAATTGGCGGTAGCAAGTATACCAAATTGCTCATTAATTATAGTCCAGTAACTTTGTCGCCTGAACATATGGGGGTAGTATCGTTACCACCGATACAACAAGGCCTGCATGCTCCGTGGGTGACGTCACTTAGTGAGGCCTAACCAGCGGCTCGAAACGACAAGCGCTTATAGCGCTATAAGGCGACCGCGTATTTCGATTTTAGTTTTAGATCATCATTGAGCCGATTTTGCTGTTTTTTGAAGGGCTTCCGGTTAAAAAAGGATGCCAGTCGTCAACTGAGCCCTTCTTCGCACCCCATTCGATTTTATTATGGAAAAACGAAGTTTGAAAACAAAAACCAGGATAAAACACAAATATCCACCTACAGCAACCCATTCGAATTAAATATATTGGCAAAAATTGTGGTGAAGGTAAACTTCACACCTACTTATACAGGGCCCGCAGAACATAAACTTATCGTGAGATTGATCGAAAGAAAATTGTGGAAAATGTATTTTATTTTGATTGACATGCCGTTTGTTACAATAACCTATATTTATCTTAGAGAATTCCTATTACCTGAAAAAATAACCAGTGAGTGTTTTCAATTTTCTGTTGTTGGATTTTTCACCCAAGTGGATCGTTACACTTGAAACCGTAATTTTTAAGGGTAAAACTGCATTTATCATACGATGGTTTTTTTTTCGAAAATTTTTTTCGGTACTCACCTATTTTTGTCTGATAAACCGAATTTTATAATGAAAATGTGAACAAACCACTATTTATTGAGATATTTCAAGAAAAAGTTCGAAATTTCGCCTTCTTTCTCCCCTTGTGTTGGGGGCATTTGAAGCTACTTATTTTGTCATTGGACACTTTATATACTCATGATGTACTTCGATGGCACATTTTTATATAGAAAATTCAACAGGAAATATGATTTTTATGGCGAGTTTTTCATATTTAGTGAACAAGCATTCCAGATGACGACCATTTAATCAATAGTCAATCAAAATACGAGATGTCAAATGTCAATAGATTGCTTTCGAATGACATTACACACGTCATTATTTTGAATGATATTCTTCCTTCTTTTCACTAAATATGGATTAATCTCAAGAAAATCATATTTATAGTTGAATTATATATAAATTGTCCAATATGATGAAAAAAGAAGGGAAATTTGTTCTAAATGTCATCCAGAAGACAGGTGAAAAAGAAGGTGAAATTTGGAACTTTTTAGTCAAATATCTTCATGATAAATTAATATCATGATAAATGCAGTTTTACCTTTTTGAGTAGAGTGTTTGTAGTTCATGTTAATATGATAGTTGCATGCAATTTGATCATTGGAATGAATTCTGCATTCATTGCCATGAGGCAAATGACCGTATTCAGAAAGAAATTTGAGAATGAGAATTAAAAATGCCCGTTTATTATGAACATTCAAGAAAATTTCCTCGAATTCAGAGATGATTTTGTTGACAATATACGAATACAAAACTAACTGCACAATCAAAGCTTTTCTATTTTTTCTCTACTTATACTTTTTATGAGAGAGTAATTGTCTTATATTATTAATTCATCATTATGAATTAAGCTCTGTTTACTACTGAACTTAGATGGAGTAAAATCCTCGCGGTGAATTGCATATACCCACATTTTCGATAGCTCCTCGTCCAACGGGAAACTAAAAGCATGAACTTTTGAACCACCCACATAATTCCCCCGACAAAAGGGAACATTTTCATTTCGCCGATCACAACACAAAATATTTCACAAAACAGTAATTTTTCCGCCAATTATTTTGATGAATAAACAACAAAAGAATTCGGGACCGTTTCAAAAACATACGTGAATCACCGATGAATTAACACGAACTGACGCGTTAGTCGACAAGCGATAAAATAAAACACTGGCCTCTCTTGGTGACGTCACGAGCTGTTCACGTCAGAGTCTGCTGGCCTTGTTGTATCGGTGGTAACGGTAGTATGCGTCAAATCCGGTAGTTCTGATTTTTTGCAGACTTGTTCATGATGTTGGCCTAATGAATGATCCAAGTTTGTGACCTCGAGCACCGAACGCAACGTTGTGAAAAATCGAAAAAACGGCGAAAAAATCGTATTTTTTTTTAAATTTTGGCGATTATAACCCTGAAGGACTTTGAAAAAAAATCTCTCAGGACGTTTTTGAAGCAGATCGAATTTGCTAAAATATGATACAAAAACTGTCTCTGTAGACCCAATAGTTTTCGAGATTAGGCCTTTCAAAGTTTATAATTCTCTTCGAACTTTGCAATTTTTTGCAATGTTTTAGGCGTCACTCGAATATACTCTAGCGGGATTGCAAAGCAGGACAATCTGGGTATTGTAAACATGTTGTAGCTGTTCTTTTATATGTCAATTGATTTGCTCGTCATAATTAATTTGAATTGTTTGAACTATCTCCAATTCTCCACCCGCTCACTGTTCACTAATAACTAATAAGAATGTAATAATGTGAAAAAATCAACCAACTCAACCATCATCACTACCAACAGTGCCAACACTTTATGTCATTGACAAGTTTGACACAGCTACAGCAAGCTGAATGCAATGTAATCTATGCACTTTATCCATAGACAACAGTTTGTTTTCCCCCAGTTTGAAGTTCAATTCAATTCAATTCAATTCAAAATATGCTTTATTGTCATAAGTAAAAACACACTTGTTGACAAAGCTTGTTGAATTACATGAAAATAAATAACACAAAGTACGACAATAGTACGACAAATAAATAACAAACAACATTCAAATGCTCCTATAGAGCCATGTCTACCTAGTTGAAAATATATTAACTTCATTTCAAATTCAAAAAAGTTATACCTATTCAGTAAATCAAAACTCCATTGAAAAATATTCATCCAGGCTATAGAGTGGAGTTTGGACGAGTAGTGCTTTGACTTTAGTGCGGAACTTTTTATCACATGATATTTCTTTGATCTCAGTTGGAAGGTGATTGAATATTTTTATTCCATTATAAATGATCCAGTTCTTGACCATAGTGGTTCGGGGTCTCATCAACTTAATTTGACCATTCTGCCTTGTATTGTATCGTGACGAGACAAGTTGTAAGGCATATTTTTTTTTTTAATTAGAGACGCTGTTTCTAATATGTATAAACAAACCACAGTTAAAATATTATAATTTTTAAATAAGTCCCTACAGCTATCTCTAGATTTCGCCCGGCCTATATATCTGAGGGCTCGTATCTGCAAAACAGAACTCTTCTGGAATAAATGATCACTGCAGGCCCCCCAAAATGCTATTCCATATCTCAAGTGAGACTCAATTAAGGCAAAATATGCTGTTCTAACAGATGAAGATCCTAATTCCGTGGCAATGTTTCTTACAACATAGCATCCAGAAGCCAGTTTTTTACACAAACCTGTCACATGTTCTGTAAACAACAACTTATTATCTATGAATAAGCCTAGAAACCTAGTAGACAATTTATTTTCTATCACCTCACATCCAATATTCAAGTTAGGAATATTGCAATGGAAAGTGAGGATGTTGGTTTTCTTAATATTTAGAGAAAGGAGGTTTGATTCACACCAATCTTTGATAATCTTTATATCCTGCATTATATTTGATTCTAATATAGAGCTATTCTCTTCTTGCCAAAGGATGGTTGTGTCATCAGCAAATAATGTGATTATGTAACCTAGATGTCGCCCACTTCGTGAATCTCGCGAATATAAAAAACGTCAAAACAGCAGTGTCGAGTACATTTAGGAACTAATACCATCCAGTGACTTCATCAGTTGGCATATACTCTCTCCTGATTCATGAATGGATCGCGGTGTATATATTTCATTATTCAGTCTGAAGATCAAATTTTCTTCGCAGGTTGCAGATCTACACGACCGTGGCGGCGGTTCTCCATCTTGGCAACGTTGAGTTCGAAGACAATCCGGAGGACACTCGCGGGGGCTCGAGGGTGGTGGCTGCTAGAGAGAGATCACTGGCGACTGCCTCCAAGTTGCTGGACATCGATCCCGGCGAGCTGAAACAGGTGAGGGAGTGAGTCTGAATGACAGTACAGTGTGTCCAGTTTTCGATGCTTTTGCGTGTTTTATTATTACCCTTTTTGGTAATCACTGGTACCTCAGCTAGTAAGCTTTCTCAGTGGGGGCGGGGTTCAAACAAAACGAACAAAAAATTATCACCACCGGAGACAATTAAGTGAGAGGTAGTGAAAGGGCGCCAAATGGTTTTGAAATCCATGTCCTATATAGGTTCAATTTTATACAGATATTATACTAGATTATCCTTCGGCCTAACAGTAACCAAACCATTAAATTTCACTGTCAACCGGAATGATCAACAAAACAAAAAGGAAATTCAAGTATGAAACACTTGTTGAATTTATTATAAATCATAGAGGGTGACAAGTTACAGGTAATTAATTTAATATGGAGAACTCAGAGGGTGATCGTTCAGAAATGGGGAAAACTCTTGCAAGAGCTTGAGATTTTGGGCCAGGGAGTGTCGTGCGATATAACAAAAAGCCCTGTCCCACAACCCCTCACAACCCCCTCGACTAAAACTACACAACGTTCATTCAATATTGGTCAGATAGAAACATATCCCGCGTAAACTCCCAGTCGAAACAAAATAAAATTTCCACTATGTGGTACTTATCGTCCGTCCTTTACCCGTCTCTCGGACAATCACATTAGCTTCCTTATGCCTCCCAGAAAACACCACTCATTAGCCCTGATCGCCTAACCTAGGCCTTGGCTTTAGAGACGACAAACAGTCTTATTTCTCTGACCGGTATGGCAAGTGATGACAGCAACCGGCCTACTAGACCAACATCCATGAATTGTTCTATTCTTCCACCACTAAAACGCCTAAAATATTACGATCAATTAAATGATACGAGAGTGGAATCGTGTGTATTTATCTGAGCAAGTATCTAACTGCTTAAATGGCTCACCTCTTTTGCCGCGTACCCTAACAACAGAGACGTTCCCCAAAACAACAGTGTACTGGTGGCACTAATCTAACAACTCCTCCAAAAACGGTCACCAATCTGGGCCCAAACAACCATAAATCGATAATTCCATACGACCATTCCTGATATTAACTGAATGTGGTGGTTACATCCGTTCAAACGAAATTTTCCAAAATATCACACACACATTAGCCACCTCGACTGAATGTTTCTCGCTCACGAAAAAGCACAACGATTTCTATCTGATTACTATGATTCGTACCGATATCTTTTTACTCGCCGTATCGATACCACGTTCTTTTTTGTCCTCCCGAGTTCCCTTTTTGACTCCGTTCTCTGTTGAACGAAATTACTATACTGGGCAATGGCCCCAATATTTCCGACGCGTTGTCAACTATACACCACAATTTAATAATTGAATACGCGTTTGTTTACATGAATGAAAAATAATCGTAACATTATGTTCATAATTTTTCTGACAATATTTCATTTCAATAATACCGAAGTATTTCTCAATTTATGTTAGTCATCACTGTAATTGTTTCATCTTGTCCCACTATTTCGTTTCGTCTTATTTGTCAATTCCTTAATTACACTGTTCTTTTTATGACATTCAACATTGACATATCATATCTTTTGTTACCGATAGTTGAAAGGGCCAATCATAGTATATTACAACCGAGGTGGGAAGTGATTCATTCCTGTCGTGAGATTAGTTGGTTAACGGAGACGCAAAGCTTCGAGGTTAGCTATAATCTCATGACAGGAATGAAACTTCCTACCGAGGTTTGTATACTATTTTATTTACAATCACCTTATTTCGATCAAAATTGATAAATCTATGTTTCGTTCTGAACATACCTGAATTATTACATGAGTGACGGCGGGAAGTAGAGGTGTGTAATGTGACACTTCCCAACCTTCAATGACGTTAGTGATGACAACATTACATATATGGTTGTAAATACAAATATTTTATATATTATTATATTTTATATATTTCTTGTATAGGCTATGGTTTCGAGGGTGATGCAGAGCAGCAGAGGAGGCATGAAGGGAACCGTCATCATGGTGCCCCTGAAGACGTACGAGGCCAACAACGCTCGCGACGCCCTCGCCAAAGCCATCTACAGCAATCTGTTCGACTACATCGTCAATCGCATCAACCAGAGCATTCCTTTCCAAAGTTCCAGCTACTATATCGGTGTATTGGATATCGCTGGATTCGGTGAGATGGAATATCGTTTTTTGATTCTGATTTGATCCTCCCAAGTGCCTGATACCCTTGATTATATACACTCGAAAGATGAATCATCCTTACGAGAGCAATGAAGCCAGGAATTCAATTCAGTTGGTGGCGGTATCTATGAGCGACAAAGTGAACCACTCTTTGTTGAGTAGCGAAGGGAAGGGATCGGTAGTGAAGAATATAATCGAAGTTTATTTTTCTACTCACATAACTAAAATGGCATTTAGCGTACGGATATGTACCACGCTAAATGATCGATTAATCACGGATTGTCGATCTGTGATTTATTCAAAATATGAAACACGTTAACCATGGCAACTCGATTTCTTAAACACATTTCCATGGCAACGCAGTTCATTAAACACAGCTTCAGTGATTTGAGACATGTCTGGCCTGTCAATTGTATTGACTGTCAATTGTTATTTTCGAATTTTGTATCAGAATTATTCGAACAATATTCGTTTGTATCAGAATTCATCATTAAAAATATATGCGAATAGTAGACGAAAGTGAAATCGAAGAGAATGTTCTGGTACTCTCCAAGCATCCATCTTTGAGACAATTTATTTATTCTGCGCTGAGCATGACAATAAACGTGAAACAAAGGTTAGTAAGCAATGGACTGGACACATCTACACCCAATATCACATATGTGTCTCGCTGGTTGCATGCAGTTGCATGTATTATGTTCTCAATTCCCATTCCTTTCGAATTATTTTGTAGGTTAGCAGGAATTGCAGGTATGTTATAGTATGTAACGCGTTTATAAACTCTTCTAGACACTCGTTTATTTAACACTCGCTCCGCTCTGCTCCGCTCGTGCTTAAACTACTCGTTACTAAAAGGACGTTTATAACACTTGTTACATAATATACTATTTTAGATGTTTTTATCCAAGAAGGAATGTCGCATAGGGCCGGATTGAATTTTTTTCATTCAAAAGCCTTCAGAATATCTGCGTCAGAAAGAAGGATATTATTAGGAAGTCCAGCAACTCGCAGACAAATAGGCCATATTTTGCTGAACCAGCTTATGAACTGAGGCCAAATTTGGCTTCTATATTTTACATGGAGGCGGATCATCTTGTTATTAGTGTATATAATCAAGGCTGATACTCAAAGTGTAACCACCGAATATGCAGTGTTATTTCAATGTCATCTCGGTATCCTTCAAAACCAGGTTTTACCTTTGATAATTCTATGTACTTTGTTTGGTATAACCTCATTGGTGCATTGGTTGGTTGGACATTTTGAGTATTGGGCTCAACGCAGGAACATAATAAATTTCGCGCATTTCAGAATTCTTCACTGTGAACAGCTTCGAACAATTCTGCATCAACTACTGCAATGAAAAGTTACAGCAGTTTTTCAATGAGAGAATCCTGAAAAACGAACAGGAGCTATACCAAAAGGAAAGCTTGAACGTACCTGAGATACAATTCGTTGATAATCAAGACTGCATCGGTACGTCTCAAATTCAAAGATTTTAACAGAATTATATCTTACAACATTAATTTTCATGACATCTTAGAGTATACTATTATGTACTCCATTTCCAGAAGTGAATTGGTATTTCTTTATCATGGTGGCTCAAAAAGAAAATCTTACCTGATGTTGTTGGAAGTCATTGCATGTTACCTCGAATTCACGTCATCTTTGAGAAATTAGTCTGAATACACATACCTTCACCTCTTGTAGAATTGCTGAATGTAACACATAAATCAACCGAACAAACTAACAACTAATTTGAAATTAAACAAATAAATCAAAAATTGTTATTTGTCTGAGGTGATGTTTTGAAAACCTCAACCTAAAATTGTCCATTCTCACAAATATTCTATAGGGCCCGTGCACGATGACCGGCCCTGGAGGTGGAACATTGAAACACAACCTCACTTTTCTGTAAAACATTGATACACAAACTCCCTTTTTTTAGTTGTTTACAAAGGAATCAAAGGATTGAAATAGTTTTTCACAATATATTCAAGCGATACAATGCACAAAAAATGCAGCAAGAGATGAAGGAATATGATTTTTCAGGTAAATGAATGTGATCTCACATAGTTTTCATTATGAAATTTTGTCAATGCTCATTATAATTCCTTCTGTCACTTCTGCAATAGAAGCTAAAACTGCTACTAGAGTGAAAATGTCAACAACAACACACGATCATATTTCGTCAGCAGGAGAGTCAGACCAGTCATTCCGTTTGATTTCACGAATCCAATCTTCTTGCCTTCTTTCAGATACTTCACGAGTATTCCCATTATCTCCTATTGCAGGAGGAATTCCAATGAGAATTGACAACATTTCAAAATGAAACTACAGTACAAATGTGACTACAGTACTTTTAGATCACAATGTACCTATACCTCACCCACCTGAAAAATAGGATTCCTGTGTCTCTCGCTGCATTTTTTGTGCATTGTACAACAGCACAATCTGATAGCATGCTTGAATTATTGAGTAGCCGCAAAAACACGATTTTCATGCCAAAATAATTATAAAAATTTGAAAAACGATTTCAATCCTCTGTAAACAAATCAGAAAAGTGAGGTTATATTTCAATGTTTTACCTCCATCTGACGTATCTTGCTATTCATCGAAATATATGAGCTCTCTTTGTTTCCAGTAAACTAGTTCCATTGAGGCAGACACATTTTGGGTCAATGAACGTGGGGTGCGTTTTTCATTCCAACATTTTATCATGCGCATGAATCGAAGAAACCATCAAACTGTTGCAAAATTCCGCTGGAATGTTGATGGACATCCATCAAACTGTTGTAATAAAATGCGCACTTTTAAATCGCATTTCGGGAATCCAGCAGTTTGGAGGATATTGACATGACAGTTGACACATTTTAGTGTTGTTTTTTGTTTTGATTTTATAGAAAACAATTAATATTGAGGATTTTTGAGATTCTTGAGAGATTTTAGAAGAAAGAGTCAGTGTTAATCAATAAAGTCGAATTAGCCTTTTCTGATTCTCAAGATACATGATGACAGACACACAACAAAATCCGTGTTTCCATCAATGTGTTGTATAAACCATTGTTCAATCCTTCCAGCATAAATTCCATCAGAACAATTGGTGACGTCACGACAAAAAACCGCATCTATCAGTGCGCACTTTCTTCGATGGAATGAAAAACACGCCCATACATATTATGCCTCTCGCCTACTAAATTCTTCCACATATTTGTTGATTTGGGGTTGTTTAATTCTCGCAGATTATAATAGGTGGCTGTGTCTTTATGAACTACTAGGTAACGCAAATAAAACTTCTGTGACCATGAAATACCAGCTCACTACTTGGAATGATTGAGCAATGTAAGTTACAAAAAAAAATTCAAATACACCATGGTAGTGAATGATATTATTACCATAGGACCTTCCCATTGTCTTTAGATAATGAATAACAATTACAGATTTAATCGAAACCAAACATAAGGGAATCCTGACGTTGTTGGACGAAGAATCCAAACTGCCGAAACCGTCTTATACTCATTTCACCGACGAAGTTCACAAGGCCTGGCCCAAAGAGTTCAGGTTAGGTCTGCCTAGGTCTTCCAAATTGAAGGCTCATCGGAGCTTGCGCGATAGCGAAGGCTTCTTGATTAAGCATTTCGCCGGAGCTGTCTGTTATCAAACTGTAAGCATGTTTGTATATAATCCAACGGGTGATCCAATATGAGTTTCTTATGTTTGCATCATTGTGAAGCAAGCAGCTGTCAATAAATACGTGTTTTCAAGGTTGCATAGGTCAGTTTAAAATCACTGCAGATCGCTCAACTCGTTAAAATGGTTCAATTGTTTCACATGAATAACACTCGAGGTGTCCTATATGCAATTAGCGGTTTCAGTGGAATTGAGTTAATGACAGTTCTTACACCTAACGAAATTCTCTATCGTTCTGTATTAGAACCAATAGTCTGTAACTATACTTAAATGAAAAAACTAATGCTATTGGAGCCATTGAAGACATTCACATGAATTCTCAAACATCTGTAAAATTTACCTCATTAAATAAGAATTCAGTGACTAATCAAGAGGACATTTTGTAACACCAGAGAGTAATGTGGAAATGTACTGTCGACTTAAATCATGTTATTTTCTAAGATTTTTGCAATTCATTAGGTTCCAAACTGTCACTCTTGATATCGATTTGTTACTTGGTGTTTGGAAATATGATTAAGAGTGAGTAAAATATATGACAGGTTTGAACTTTGTCTTATGTGATTAGCGGTCTAGATATTATGTTATGTCTGTGATTGGACCCTTCAATTGTACGACTTGTTTATCTGGATTTTTTAAATCTGATTCCATCAAAAAATTCAAAACATGCTATTTCAGAATCATTACCGAATGGATTAAAGAATACTCAGGATGCAAGAATTGACTCTTATTCAATCTCAAAAAATACTAGACCGAACTAGAATTCGCAGTTGAAACTTCCATTCAAGAAGTGAGAATTCGTTTGTACCTAGTGGGTATTGGGCAACCATTTATTTTTTGATTGATTTGTTATTAATATTTTTATATGTATCCCTATTAACAGTCACGATTCGTAGGTTAATAAAGATAACTAATCAATCAATTCCGATTTCATGGGAAGAATATGGTCAATTAGATCGCCGTATTGAGCAAAAAATTCGCCAGGTAAAATTTGGCGAAACTAGGAATATTCGAGATAGGGTGAAGCCACCATAAGTGAAAGTGTGACAATGGACTAGGATTTTTCGATTTTTCGCTAGATTTTATGGCGTCCTTTGGCGTATTTTAACACGTTGGGCCTGTTGAGAATAATAATCATCACATTTAAATGAGATATACTAACATCCTGTATTATGTTGAAATAATTGAATTTGTTCACTGTCAGATACTTCATGAGACTTCAATATACGTTTTGAATATAAAAAGTTCTGGTTGATCTTCATAAGATTGTTGAATTAATATAATAATAAAAACCCGATATCCGAACAGGTTATGGGCCCAGGCATCTGCCATTAAGAAACGAAGATCAGCAATAAAAGTATAAGAAGGTAAAATAAAATTTCAAAAAATAAATCGTGACAGTTGTATACTACATCCTCAAGAATATACTATGGCATCCGCACTAGATGATGTTAGTCAAGTAGAGAAGTTGAAAGACAGCGAAACGGAACAATCTAGCATACAGATTGAAAATCCTAGACCAGAAAATTGATGATTAAGTGCTCATGTCGAAAATTCTATCAACAGGGCTGTGGTTGAGTGATGCATTTCATAAATGTGTCGTTACGAATAAACATATATCTTGAATTGGATCACCCTTTACTTTGATGAACCTTGGACTCAATGAGTATATAGGGAACCGCGAGATGTATAACTGCCAATTTCTCGTGATCAAAAAGAAAAACACTATTGGAACTGTAAAAAATTAGCCGAGGCATTCACAGCAATTGAACTCTCAATGAACAGAACAAAAATATATATTTTTCTGCTGTGTTGGATTGTTTTTTATTTCCTGAAATGAACAATGTGACAAGTTGAGATTTGAGTAACGATAAGTCAATATAAATTAGTTTCAACTCGTTTCGGATATGTCACATTAAAGAAGATAACTAAGGAATCACTAATTTTGTTTTTTTGTATTTGTGAATTGATTATGAGAGATGCAGAAAAAAGATCCATCAGGTCATTGATTGGTTTTTACGGTTTTATGATTAACTGTAAATTATTCGAATGTTTTCACTAGTAATTCCAGGGTTGACCAACCATATAAGTGTATCAAATATACCGAGTGATTTTTCATTTCAATTTTGTCCAATTTTCAGAAATACTTTATAGACAAAAATAACGATGCCCTTCATGCGTCATTGGAAGGTATCATTCAAGAAAGTAAAATCAAATTGATTCAGACGTTGTTTTCAACGTCCAGTACACTCAAAGGCAAACTGACCTTCAATAGCGTAGGTAATAAATTCAAAATGCAGCTGGGAGAATTGATGGAGAAATTGAAAAATAACGTAAGTAATAACCTAGTGAACATTGTATAAACTCTTCATTTGATATAATTTAATAATAATTTCGTCATAAAGAAAGTGTAATCATCAAACTTTACTTTCAATGAAGTTGATACAATCCAATAAATTTTTTTTCAATATATTGTAGCTACCATACCGGGTGTTTCTCAAAAGCAGCTCACTGCTATAACTTTTTTGTTTATACAGATGTACAATTGAAATTTAGTGTGTGAGTATAGTACGTATTCGATGTATTCAATTGTTTTCTGTCAGTAACCGTTTGATTGGAAATGAACGAGTCGGATAGAAACAGAAAAGTTATAAGGGTGAGCCACTTTTGAGAAACACCCGGTATAATCATCAGTATATGATGGTGTCTTGAGGCATCCAATGAATCTCCAATATCTGATCAAGCAAATTCACTAATTATCGAATGTGAGATGCAATTTTATTTTATTTTTCATGTGTTTTTTCTTGATGAAACCGATAATTTTTACTAAAACAGGAAATTTGTAAAGACTTGGAATTATTGAATTGATTTTATTGAGGAAGCTCAGTTGTTTTCTTGCTCGAAAAACACTCTGGGACCATTGTGTGACTTTGCGATTGGGTTTTTAGGGTACTAATTTCATTCGTTGCGTCAAACCCAACAACAAAATGATCGATCTTCAGTTCGACGGGAATTTGAGCTTGATGCAGCTCAAATGTTCTGGAATGGCGAACGTTCTGGAACTGATGGAGTACGGTTATCCGAGCAGAACGTCTTTCGCAGAGCTGCATTCCATGTACCAGGAATACCTGCCCAAGGAGCTGCAGCGTTTGAGCCCTAAAATGTTCTGCGAGGTAATATCCATTCCTTTTCTCTCCACTCCCACCACTTTTTTTATACAACCTTTAGCATTACTCAATCCTTTTTGAGAAGTGTAGTGATAATTGACTACCAAGTGTTATTTTTTTTGCATTCCAAGTAGTTGAACACGTTAGATTTTTTCGATTTTCCACATCAAACACCACACACACACATGCAATTTAATAACTATGGAAACTATTAAGTCGCTTGTAATTAATACGGGTCTATGTAGGGCAAATGAATGTTGGTATACCGATGGCTCCAAAACTTGGGAAGCCGTCGGAGCCGGTATATACGGGATGAACCCAGTAGTGAAACGCTCATTCAGTATGGGTAAACTAGCTACGATATTCCAGGCAGAGGTAAACGCCAACGAAATGGGTGCAAGGGAGCTGGAAAATCGATACCACACACGAAAAACAATACAAATATTCTAAGATAGTCAAGCAGCACTGAAAGCACGTGAATCCAACTGCTTTAAATCCAGAGCAGTATGGAACTGCAGAGAAACCTTGAGACTGGCACAACGCAATAACGTTAACCAGGTCACACGGGCCTAAAAGGGAACGAAACAACACAACACAACCTCAATTTAGCACGTGATCTATTATATCCAATAAGGGCCTCATGTACCACGTGATCAATTGTAACCAATGAGGTTTGGGAATGTCTCCTAATGTCTCCTTCGGTTCGTCCCTGCATACGCGAAAAAAACTGATGTAAAATTGAGTAGCTTGATGGTTGAGTCACCACACAAATATCTAATTGAAATTTAATTTCAAGCGTACTGTCATGGCCGCCATTTGGTCATGCTCTGCGATACGTCAAATTAATGGTGACCTAAGGTTTTATGCTGTTTCCTACCATTTCCACAAGTTAGAGTCCTGTCGTTGAATAATACATAATAGAAACAGAAAGCCACAATATATTATAGTTCATTTTTGATGTTTTTGAGGAACCAGCATGTCCAAATATTTCTTATACTCCATAACAAAATAATATGTAAAAGTTGGAGACTTGGCAACATGTGCTGAAAGCTGAGAATTGACAAGACAACGCAAACAATTCGTGCGCCGTGTTCGTTCAAATGTGTGTGAATTAATATAATTAATATATTTAAACGAATTTATGAAAAGCAATCATGAAAAATACATCATATATGCTCATTTGAACGTTTTTGTACATTCAACATTAACTGATATAGCTATACTTTTTGTGATTTTCTTCTAGGCGATGTTGCATAGTTTGAAACTGTACGAGAAAGACTTCATATTCGGCATCACGAAGGTGTTCTTCAGACCGGGGAAATTCGCTGAATTCGATATGATCATGAAATCGGATCCTGAAAACTTGAAGTCCATCGTCACGAGGGTTAAGAAATGGTTGGTGAGAGCCAGATGGACCAAGGCCCAATTCTGCGCCTTGACAGTCATCAAAAGTAAACTCAAGTTCTATATTATCGCTCAGATAGGTATATTTGAAGTTGTTGACAAAAGTGTGTTGATATGTGGGCAGGCTTCTCGGAACGTATTGTCCGCTATCATGATATACAAGGTGTCCCAGACCAAAACGTGACATATGACTTGATAGTTATTTTGAGTGATTTTTCGAGAACAAAAACGGATAGATTTTTTTTCATTATGAGATCAATGGGCTTATATCACAAAAAAATTGTACTTCATAATTCGATAGAACTCACCCAAACTATCTTACCACCGCAAACCGTTTCTTGCTGTGAGCTCCCTCGGACCTCTGAAAACGAGGCGATGATGTGACGTCAAAACCCTAATACTGAAACAAGACTATTCCAGTCAGAGATGAATGATACATGATTTCTGACAGAGTGAATTAGCGCGAGATCCCAGTTGAAAGAATTAATATATCAGTTGCCTCAGTCTCCGTCGGGAGTTTGGTATTTTCTTTTAACTATGACGAGATGAGGTTTCTACGTCATAAGGGGGTCCGTTTTCAGAAGGTACTATTATTTATGTCCAAAAATAAAATATTCCAGTTAATTTTTCAATCGAATTATGTCGTCGATCATTATTTATGTATGAAAGGATCATTATAAACATGGTTTGAGTTGAAAGTTCTACTAAGGTGTACACGCCCATTGGGCTCTTTACTACCTTGAACCACATAACTCAAAACCTAGAAGGCTAATGCAAGCGTGAGAAATCGCTGAAATCTGATACAACTAGTGTGCTCACGGCAATAGTGATCATGCGCACATTGTCGGCAACACTGTCAGTTATATATTTTTATGCTCATATATCATATTGATGCATTAGGATGATGTTAATATTCCTCATAAAACTTCTTGTTACTGATGATCGAACAGCTTCACAAAAATCAAATATAAAATATTCGCCACAAAATTCACAGCCTCACTGATATTAATCGAATGGCTAACAAGAGATCCATGAAATATTATGAACTTCATATTTCTCACAAGTTCATCAGCAACTGTGTGAGAATGTACCACTGTCATTTTGTCTGATTCTGCTGATATAACCTGAACCATCGAAAAATCACTTCTAATGACCTCCATCATGGTAAATATCATTTAAATTCTTCACAATGTTTTGCTTTTTGAGGAAAGCTACAAAAACCTGGTAATCAAATAATTCTGAAGCTACCCCTGGCATGGTCGCGTCTCTACTGCGCATGATCATATCTGCCGTGTGAGCCACGTTAGGGAACACTTGAATAAAACGATATTGACCTAGGTCTTTGAGTTCTATGCCTTGAACGAGAGAAAGAAAAGTTCTCTCCTCTTCCATCTTTCTCTTTAATGCTACCAACATGGCCGCATTGGAATATAGAGAGGTCCGATAAATCTTTCCTTGCCTAACATCTAGTTTATGCCACTGAACTATTTTTGAATTCAACAGAGTGTCAAATTAAAGATATTAACGAAATATATCAAAATAAGTATGATGTAATCTGTAATTTTGTTTCAAAAATTTGAAAGGTTATCAGTCAATGACGTGAATGACATGGACATATCACATCATTATAATCTGAACTAACTGAAATATTCCACTAGAACTGAACTGAATCAGTTATTATGTGTTCTTTCGAAAGAATTCGATTAGTTAGAATGCATGTTAACTGATTCAGTTCAGTCCAAAGTGAAATATGTCAGTTTCTGAAGAAAATAATATTATTCGCGATAGAAAATGATCGGAGTGCCCTCTAGTGGACATATTCGCTGATCCGAATTTCAGAATTATAGCTAGAAAACTAAGGATAAAAGGGGGTTTATACCGGGTGGCGATTTTACTAAATATACTGCACGCTAGCACAAACCACGCCCACCATCATAATACGTCATATCTCCAAACATTACCGATATACTCGGAGTCAGTACATCGCACTGAATATACTGTGCTCCAACGAAAGAATACACTTTTTATGATTTTGACACGAATTCGACTGAAGCTCTCTCGTTGTCAATCTCTTGTACGCAGTAAATTCATATACCCAAATGGTCTACTGGTTAGCGCTGTCGACTTTCAGTCTGAAGGTCCATGGTTCGAATCGCTGTGAACTTGAACCTTTTTTTTGCAACTTTTTTTTTCACCAATGTTTCTTTACTTCATTCTGGTTTTCCTTCATAAAATATTTGAAGTCAAATAGGTTAGTGCGTTTAGGATAAATAGTCTCATTTTATTCAATTTTGTTGAAGAACTCATCTTTTGAAATATTTAATCAAGGTGTTTCTACAATCCATTCGGTTTTCCTTCCTCAAAAATATTGCAATCAGGGATAGGTTAGTTCGTTAAGGATAAATAGTCTCTGAGTTTTGCCTAAGTACTTCGAAGATGAGATATTACGGTGGGCGTGTTTTGTGCTAGCGTACAGTATATTTAGTAAAATCGCTACCGGGTGTCAACGAATCTATTACACAAGTCATAACTTCTAGACCATTAGGTGTATCAAAATGAGATTTGGTATAGGTAAATGGTATGCAGAGAGGAGAGTTTTCACATATTTTTCACTTTCTGGTCACTTCCAGTTTCACCGGAAATGGCCCCGGTTCTAAATTTTCAAATGGAACACCCTGCATATTGTAACATTTTTGGATTTCTGAGGCAATTCTAGATCAGAATGTGATATTTTCGAGAGTTTTAATGCCTACTTAATTTTTTCGGAATCACTTTTGAAATATCTGGGCTGGTATCGTTGGAAACAGAATAATTGGACCAATATTATTTCAAGGTCAGTTAACAGAGGTTAGGTACTTAGGTTTCCTTCAAAATGAAATCGAAGATCATCCTAATAATCTACCTTTAGCAGTTTTAAGGCGCATTTACTTCCAACAAGATGGAGCACCCGCTCATAATACCAGATACGTTCTTGATTACTTAATAGAGCATTTCAATAATCAAGTTATTGCAACCAATGGACTAGTACGTTTCGGGATATGTTAATAAATAATTGGTCTACTATGCAACAGCCCCAGCTACTCTCGAAATCTTAGAAGAAAGGATTCTACAGGCATTTAGAAGTATAACGCCACAAATGTTACGAAACGTGTTGAGAGAAATAATTGAACGAGCTGAAATGTGTCTTGAACAAGGAGGAATGCACTTTGACAATTGACTATAATAGTGAAAATTTGAAGAAATTAGGAAATTTAAAAAAATGTAAGTGGATCGCTGAAGTTATTGTTAATTTTGTTAAATTTGTTGATCCAATCGCAAATAAATTAGTATCGTTATATTCGTCAAAATATCATTTTTTCGGGAAGTGCTTACAAAAGTCAATGAATTATCATCCATGGCACACTTGACAAAAGTAAATAAATTATTATGAAGTATCTTCGTCAGTAATATTTAATTTATGTTCTTATTTGTAATCCAATCGCGAATAAATTAGTATCGTTAGATTCGTCAAAATATCCTTTTTTCGGAAAGTGCTTGTCAAAAAATGGTCGCTATTTGAAAAATAATAGTTAGACACGAAAATGTAATTTTGCCAACTTGTCTTATTCATATCTATCATACTTGTCACTAAAACTTCGCGATTGTAATTTTCTGATATCACCTGAGGTCCTTAGATTAGTTTACTTCCGATCATGGTCACCTAGATGTAATTTCAAAAATGATTCCGAAAAAATTAAGTAGGCATGAAAACTTCCGAAAATGCCAGATTCTGATCTAGAATTGTCCCAGAAATCCGAAAATGTTACAATATACAAGGTGTTCCATTTAAAAATTTTGAACCGGAGTCATTTCCGGTGAAACCGGAAGTGACCTTAATATGAGAAATATGTGAAAACTCTCCTCTTCACATACCATTCACCAATACCAAATCTCACTCTGATACACTTAATGGTCTAGAAGTTATGACTTGTCTAATAGATTCGTTGACACCCGGTATACCATGAGTCTGTGTCACAAGGTATACGGTTTTCTTCAGTTTTTACTAACGTCACTATCAAAAAATCCACCAGAATAATAGTTTTCATCATTTGTCAACAATTGTTCCCCGTATTATGTAAATATAGGGTGTTGTTGATTTTAATTTGGCTTTTTCACACTTTGTTTTGGGACACCTTATAGTACAGGGTGTTTCAAAAATGGTAGAGTACTCACTGAGCGAAATAATGAAAATATATAATATTTTCTAATGAACTTTTCAACAATTGACTACATATCTAAGTTGAGAACTCAAAAGGTTATCTACATAAAACTTAGAGTGAAATTGAAACTAAATACTACTTCTATCAACCTAATACAAGAGTACATTTTTGTGAACGAACTTCTTTTATTTTCAGAAAGTTCTACCTTCTAAAAACGTTTTCGAAATCAATGTGATATCTACTTAATTTAGTAAGTGTTCAACATTTCCTAATTCGGTTTGATAGAAAATTCAATTCATGTATAAAAAATTCGGTACGCCACTGTGATTTTATCATTATGACTGCAAAAACGTTAGCCTTAACTTTTCCAGCTACAAAACGGAACTTAACATTTGAAACCAAGATAACCGAAATTGTCAACAGTGAATCTTTGATTGCGTCTATGTAAATTTTTCTCAAACTTGCATTGTCATAAAAGTATTCCTTCAATTGAAAAAATTGAAAAAATCGTCAGCAACAATATATGTGATTCACGTATTCATTAAATTGTCTTACGGAATTAAACTCAAGAATTTATTTCGACATTTATGATAATTCGAGTTTTGTTGCTTCAAGGAAATTTTACTGACTATTCCACTCTTGATCTCGAGTACCAATCAGAATCGACCATTTTCACGGTTTCTTCTGTATTCTAGCGATATTTTTTGTTTATTAAATTTTTTCGGACTTGATCTACCAATACAGAAGCCAAATTGACCCACACGTGACAAACAAACCTCGTTTATCAGCGATAAAATTTTGACATCGTGTCTGATGGTCAAGATTGCTTTGAATTCAAATCTGAGACAATAACCTAAGTTCCTACTTTATTTTATTTACTTATAATTTGCGGTAGTGAGACATTTCGTACGAAAGACGAGACAATTTTATTCTGGCTGGACGTTTCATTGGTAATTTAAAAAGTTTGCATATTTGTTGACGGTCTGACACAACAATAATAGAATTCAAATTCCTTTTTGAAGTAATCTTCTTCGATAACTCAAGTTATTGTGACTGATATAATTACCAGACGATGTAGCGCAACTGATATGGTTGTTGCGCGAGGATACGAAGGTCGGTGGTTCATGCCCCTTGGCAACGATATCTTTTTTTTCAATTATTTTATGTCACATAAATTCAATTTTTTTTTTGGATTGGATAGCAATTGTATACACTCTTTTGAGAGCAATCATCTAGAAGATAATGGAAAAATACTGTTTATCACAATTGTACATTCCACTTTGTGAATAACTATAAGTAGGTAGTTAATTTCTAAAAAATTGAATTCTGTATTTCATTATTATCATTTTGTTCTTCTTCGCAGTTTGAGTTAGAATATAGAGAATATACTTAAATTATGTTTTCTATTTCTTATACATATATTGTCTCATTCAATCATGAAATACTCATACGAATACAACTCGTGATACTATACTAAATATTCGTCGATTGACATACTCCAGCTTGCTGCTCTAATTTCGCTCATGACATTGATCCAAAACTACTCGCCTACAGCTCGTAGGTTTGATAACAATGTCATCCACGAAATTACTAGGCAACAAGCTGTCGTAACAATTACCGATATTTCCGGCAAAATATTATCACTTGTGATATTATATATGAAAAAACCGCCCGAATGCAGTTTTTTTCGTTCAATTTCCAGCCAACAAAATCCTCATTGAAATGTCAAGTTTACTCTCGCGTAATTATAATTATTAAAGATTACTTTACTTCGGAGAGTTGAACGCCCCATACCTCGGTAATTCCTTACCATTTTTATGAAACACCTTGTGATGGAGGTTATCATCAATCGTTTCATTATCAAAGATTCACCAGTAGAATCCTCTTTCGTCATCACGCAATCCTGTACTAGCACTTGTGTTCTAGTGAAAAATCGGATAGCCTGGAGAAAACGGACGCTCATAACGATGCAAAAAACGATAAGAGGTTATCTGGTTAGGAAGCAGCACGGTCCCCGGATAATAACCTTGAGGAACATCCGAAGTTTGGATGGGAGTCTGAAGAAGATCGAACAAAGTGCGCAGCAACTAAAGACCGGCAAAGAAACGTTCGCCAACGAGATCAACAATTTGAAGACGCAGTTCGCTGCAACCGTAGACAGAATCAAAGTAATTATCCAGTTGAATTGTACTTTAAACACGCTTCCTACTGAGAAAAGTTGAAAGATATGTTGATGCAATGTTGAAGCAATTACTGAAAGGGACGTTCAGCAATATTGCGGAGGTGAAGTTTGATAATGTAGCATTGCAGCAATATAATATGTTACTGTGATATTGCTGGAACGTTAAATTCACAAATTTACATTTGCAATATTGCTGAACGTTCGTTTCCGTAATTGCTACAACCTTGCATCAATATAATTTTCAAATTTGCCTAGTGGGTTACATTAGCTTCGAACGTGATTTTAATCCACTCATTACTTCGAATTGGATTGAAACATTTTTTCTTGAATTAAATGGCGAATGACGTTCCACTTCCCAAATTTCAAAATGGTCCTTCACCAAACATTTGAATGGTCGTTTTTTATATCTAGAGACACGGCAGTGTCTTACACCAAGTACTCGTATGAATCTTTACATCCAGAGAGACAGGTAATTTCGACCCACTTCAAATAGTCGAAATAAATTGAAACACTTATCAAGGAACAATGACAATAGCATAGTTCAATAGTTTTGTTACATTTTCCTGATCAGGATCTTCAGGATGAGCGATTTTTTTTCTTGAATAAAATCGCGAATGACGTTCCTCTACCAAAATTTCAAAATGGTCCTTCACCAAACATTTGAATGGCACGGCAGTGTCTTACACCAAGTACTCGTATGAATCGAATTAAATTGAAACACCTATCAAGGACCCATGACAATATTATAGTTCATTAGTTTTGTTACATATTCCTGATCAGGATCTTCAAGATGAGCGATTTTTTTCTTGAATAAAATGGCAAATGACGTTCCGCCACCAAAATTTCAAAATGGTCCTTCACCAAATATTTGAATGTTCGTTTTTTATATCTAGAGACACGGCAGTGTCTTACACCAAGTACTCGTATGAATCTTTACATCCAGAGACAGGTGATTTTGACCCACTTCAAATCGTCGAATTAAATTGAAACACTTATCAAGGACCGATGACAATAGCATAGTTCAATAGTTTTGTTACATTTTCCTGATCAGGATCTTCAGGATGAGCGATTTTTTTTCTTGAATAAAATGGCGAATGACGTTCCGCTACCAAAATTTCGAAATGTTCCTTCACCAAATATTTGAATGTTTGTTCTATGTAGAGACATGTGAGTTTGACCCACTTCGAAACGTCGAATTAAATTGATACACTTATCAAAGATCGATGACAATAATAGTATATAATTCAATAGTTTTGTTCCATCACCTTGATCAGGTTACAGATATTCAAAAAAATTTAAAAAAAGAACTACACACTTTAATAATGGATTAGTTTTATGAAATGCAAATGATGAGTTTATCCGGAGAAAGTCGAAATTCGTCAATTTTCAACTAGCGCCTGAGCTCGAAGGGTTCAACGAGGGCAAAAAATATAAATGATGAATTTTGAACGTCATTGTATCTACTTCTTTTTTTCGATGCGTTCTTGAATCCTTCTATGTTTTCTGGGAAAAGGCAGTTCTTGGGTTTTGGATTCAGTAAATAATTATGTTTTTATAGTGTCATTTGAAACGTTTTGCCTATGGCCATAGGCTTTTTCAATCTTTATTTTTTACATAAAATTTACTGGTCTTATAGCTCTGGTTGAGACCAGTAAATCTTATGTAAAAAATACAGATTGAAAAAGCCTATGGACATAGGCAAAATGTTTCAAATGATACTATAAAATAGTACATTAAACATCAAGGGATAGAAATGCAAGATTTTCTCCAAGTGCGATTTGTAGCTCGAGGGCATAGGAATATATAAACATATGATATGTATAACAATAAAATAAAACCAATCAACAAGTGATGTCAATATAACATAATAATTAAAATAAAATCATTCCAAGTATTCAAATGAAAATAAATAGCTCCGTTAATAGTGTAATGGAACAAGAAATCGAGGGAACACCCCAAGAAACTATTGATACTGCTTCTGCAGTGATTCCTAACTTGCCACCAGTGAAATCTAGAAATCTGTATTATGCAGCTTATACTCGCTTCAGAGAAGGGTGTTCCGAAAAGGAAGCGCAGAGCTATGCGGAAAATGTAAAATTGGTATAAACTCCCTAGGGAGAAAATATGTCACATTATCTCCCTAGGGAATAATACGAGACTTCTGCCACCTGTTACCAGAGTAACTAACTTCTAATCCCGCCGGGATAATAACATAATTATTTTTTGAATCCAAAACCCAAAAACTGTCCCATCCCAAAAATTGTATCTACTTCAATTTCGAATAGAGGAAGTTTTTACGAATAGGTGATAGTTTTCGAATTATAAGCAACAAACAGATGATATCTAATATACTTATTAAATTCACCTGTCCCGGTCACGGTGTTAGTGGTCGAACGGTCGAAACGGCTCGACCGATTCGTATGAAATTTTTTGTGCGTATTCGGTAGGTATGAGAATCGGTCGTAATCTATTTTTTAAATCGAAAATTCAAGATGGTGGATCCAATATGGCGGATCCAATATGGCGGACGAGTATTGTTATCCGATTTCATTCAAAATCGGTATTTGGATGTTTTCGGGGTCGGAGATTATGATTCTTTCGTCAAATTTCGGAAATTCAAGATGGTGTATTCAATATGGCGGTCGAGTTTTGTAATTGTGGTCAGATTCCATACAAAATTGGTATATGAGGGTTTTCGAGGTCGGAGATTATGATTTTTTCATAAAAATTAGAAAATTCTAAATGGCGGACGATCTTTGTAATTATGGCCAGATTCCATTCAAAATTGGTATCTGGGGGTTTTCGAGGTCAGAGATTATGATTTTTTATCAAAATTATGAAATTAAAGATGGAGGATCCAATATGGCGAACAAGTTTTGTAATTATGATCCGATTCTAATCAAAATCTGTATCTGGGGTCTGGGTCGGAGATTATGATTTTATTCTTTAAAATTGGGAAATTCAAGATGGCGGATCCAATATGGTGAAAGAGCTTTGTAATAAATAGTAGTTTGAAAAACTATAATGAAACACGCTTTTATAGATAGCCAAACTTGAGGCCAGATTGAATAGAAGTCGAAAATTGATAGTATAGTTTGAAAAACGAGATAGATTGTCGAATTAAAAAGAAGTAGAAAATAAAAATAGTAGTTTGAAATACTAATGAAACACGATTTTATTGATATCCGAACTGAAAATAAGTACAAAACAAAATGATAAAAGTGTGTAGATGAATATTTAACTAACAAAATATTTTCTAGAAGAAAATGTTTATAGCAAAACAACGTGTGCCAGGTATCAGCATCAGCTATTGTAATGAATAGTAGTTTGAGAAACTAATGAAACATTTCTTATAGATAGCCAAACTAAAAAGAAGTGAGTAGTTAAATAAATGAAAAAATGAAGAGATATAGAGTGCCGAACTAAAAAGAAGTAGATAATAAGTAGAATAGTTTGAAAAACTTAAGAATCCCGTTTTCATGGATAGCCGAAATAAAAAGAGGTATAAAATAAATAATGAAGGTTCTTTGATAATATTTATGTAAAAACATTTTTCTTAGAAATAATGTCATGGCAAAATAACGTTTGCCGGGTCAGCTAGTAATATTATATATTTCACTTATTTTTGTATTTTTTATTGAATTCCGGTTGTTTCTCAGAAAGATGCCAAGATCGACAAAGCCACAGCCGAAAACTTGCACAAAACGCTGGTGGACCAGGTGAACATGCAAATGGCGAACCTCCAAAAGAAGCTCGACGAACAAAAGATGGCGGAAGAGCAGGCGAGACTGAGGAAGGTGCAAGAGGAGATGGAGAGGCAGAGGCGGTTGAAGGAGGAGGAGGAACGTAAGCGGTTGGAGGAGGAGGAAAATAGGCGGCTGAAAGCGGAGATGGAAGCCAGAAGGAAGATCGAAGAGGAGGAAAGAAGAAAACAGGTGATTTCATTATATTATATTTTTGGAAAATGTTTTTTCCGGCCTTGTCCGGGAAGTATCACTTCGCTGTTGTCACTGTTATTATGAAAATCTTGGTAGATATGGTTTCGATAAATGCAGATGATAATTACCATGGCAGCGAAATATCGGCTGACAGCTATTTGACATGAAATAATTGACATTTTGATTTTTGAAAGTTTAGTTGCAATTATCGCAATAAACTATCGAAAGCAGCTTTCCCAATTTTTGATATATTTTGATTTGCACTGACATTGGTCATATTGAATGTCATAAGGTAATTAATAGTTTTAAAATTGCCAGCGTCAAAATATATGGTTATGCTCGCATTGGTGGTTAGGAATATATCAACAAATATACACACACTGGCACAATTAGGGGAACGGGCAAAATGTACACTAAGTTTGACATCAATTTTCTTTCGAACCGATCGCTGGACTCAAATTTTTTTCTTCACGAATTGTAGCTTCATTCTTCACGAATACATCTGAGAGATAATTACCTTCAAACGATGAGTCTTTCTATCATATACAGGGGTGTAAAGAAAGTACGGATTTTTCGGTATTTTTTTAGACATCCTGTGGACTGAACCACTGATAATTGAAACGATTCCTCAACACCAAATTGGAGCCCAATCTATTCCGAATATTTTTGTTTTTTATTCATCTTGATATCTGAATTATTCCAGAAAATACAGAGTTTCAAAGGAAAGGTGGATATTGGTATCAATTTTACCACCTCGAAACTCAAATCTGAAAATGTGTCGTTTCTGGACTAACCTAACCTAGCCATGACTAAATCTCTACCATAGGAGACAGAAGCAGTAAAATCAAATTGTTCATTTTGTTCACCTCGGCGATATAGTCTTTCCCTGCCATCTATTGAATTGATGCAGATGCGGCTCTCATATGTTAAAGGAACATTGGCCCACTGGTCATTTTCAATTAATGCTACAGCCCTCGCCACATCAGTAGGAGTCAAATCTCTCATGTTGAATTTTCATTAATAGAAATTCATGAATTGTGAATCGCTTGACTTTGACAATAATTAATGACATAAACAAAATAGCCAACAATGATTAACAAAAATAGCATTTCACCAAAAGAACATTGGAGCAACTTTTATCACCCCTGCTTATTCATGAGAATATTCGTATATGTGTTTTTAAACAATAAACTGATAGGTAAAACTGTGAACAATTTTCATCTTGAAGTAAAAATCCTCACAGAAACAAGTTGAAAAACGACACGTTCTCCCCAGTTCGAGTTTCTAGGTGGTAAAATTAATACCAATATCCACCTCTCATTTGAAACTCTATATTTTCTTGGATAATTGGGATATCAAGAAGATTAAGAAACGAAAATATTCGGGATAGATTGGGCTATAATTTGGTGTTGGGAAATCGTTTCAATTATCAGTGGTTCACTCCACAGGATATCTTGAAGAATACCGAAAAATCCTTACTTTCTTTACACCCCTGTATATGATATAAAGACGAATCGTTTGGAGGTGGTTATTTCTCAGATGTATTCGTGAAGAATGAAGCTACAATTCGTGAAAAACAAATTTGAATCGAGTGATCGGTTCGAGAGAAAATTGATGTCAAACTTAGTGAAAATTTTACCCGTTCCCCTAATTGTGCCAGTGTGTGTATATATCAAATGTCACATGAGAAGGTGTATGACGTCATCGAGAGCTGGCGTTTTTCGAAGGTACCGCTTTTAATGATTGAAAAACAGTTTTTTTATGAATTTAAATGATTTGCACCACCCCGTATCTGTTCCGATTAAATATCAGTGAATAGTATATCACAAATACTGTCTGTAGGTTAGTCGAGGAGGTGGTATATTCATTTCACTTGTTTCTTTGGGATTATTTCTCCTCGTTTCTATAAAATAAAAGTATTCGCATGATTTGTAGTGGGACGAATCAGATGATTTGCCCCCAGAATGTCACTGCGTTTAACAAATTTTTCTATCAGGGAGTCTAAAAGAAAATCCAGTAGCTTGTCAGTGACAATTTGTTTGAAAAAATGTTTGAAGGAAAGAAATATAGATATATTATTATTATTATAGCAATTCTGACGTCACCTCTGTCAAATTTCCGTGCGGAAGACACAATCACGCGGAGTTGAATCATTTGAATTGTTCTAAAGTGGCGTACTTGATTTTTTCCTCGTTGTTTATTCAATTTTCGGGATGAAATTTCTCGTTAATTAAAAGATTTAGGAAAAATCTCATATCATGGGAATATTCGATAGACTGTATCATATCAATGTGTCGATTATATGTATTTATTTCAAAACACCTCATATATAAAATTACCAAGACGTACATGTTTCTATATATGTGTGTAAAATTTATGAAAAAACGAGTTTTTCTGAAAACTTTTCGACACTGAAAATGCCCATCCTGTATATATAGGTACGTCACAAACCTAACGGGTTCACATGATAATGTAAGTATACATGGCTTAGAGATGGTTTGGGAAAAATGGACGACGACAGGACGTCCCTACAACGTCATAAAACTGACGTCTTATTTCACCCAATTGAGTGACGTTCACTCGACGTCGAGATGATGACGAGATTATCACGTCATAGAAAGTACGTCATAGTAACGTCATAAATTGGTGTGCGTGACGTCTCTGACGAAAAATTACCAATTAGAGACGTCACAGTGACGTGATCATTCGTCATCTGGTTTCCTGGGCAATGAGATAAATCTCAACATTGGAAACCCCTCCCATTGTTGCTGCAATCCGTTGTCGAACATTTTCAGGAGGAAGTCAACAAGAAGTTGGCCCTCGAGTTGCAGAAACAACAGGAGAAGGAGGAACAAGAGATGCGCGTGTACCAGGACCATCTTGAACAGGAGAAACAAGATCGCGAAGTGGCATTAAGATTGGCGCAAGAAAGCAACGGGCAGATCGAAGAAAGTCCGCCCACAATTCGAAAGTAAGCATCTAATAGTTATTCATGTAACAAGGATCATATAGACGATCATTATGGAACAAGTCGTGAATGCTATCGATAACACGACGAATGATTGTTTATGATTCATATCACATACGAAATTTTATCTGATGGCATTTATATTAATACCTTATCGAAAAATTAAAAATTGCATTTTTGACATGTCACAATGGCAACTTTGGAGAATATCCCAGGATTGAATATGGTAGAACTTGTCAGACAATATATCAAAATACGACCTTGCAACACAGACCATCTACGTTTTTTTGTCACTTATTAAAATAAAAAATGCACAAAAGAACCCGTTGGAATACATAAATTTTGTGAAATGCCGAAAGTTATTGCCAATTTTTTGAATTCACATCAAAAATTCGAAGGAGCAAAAGAAAAAAATAGAACCAATTTTTGGTGCCAAAAACCAAACAGGATTTCAAGTTTACCAAAAATCATCAATTACTGATGTGAAAACTCTAGAATCCATTGGAATTAATATTGCAAATTGTAGTAAATGCTCTTTTACCATTAATAATAAGTATTTTTTTACATAGTTATGCATTTCGAATAAACTTGTTTGTTCTCACCATTACATGTTTTTCATATAGAATCTCATTATGGTACTTAGTCCCATAATGAATTCATTATGGGACTAAGTACCATAATGAGCTTCTTTATGTCATCAAATTTGACTGACATAACATGCCATCAGATAAATTTTTTTTTATATCATTTGGTGATGACTGTTTCGAGAATGGATACGATCCTTCAGAATGCATAGCTGAGCTATGTTGATCGTTTCATGGAGAGTAATCGAAATTTTTGTTGTTTTCATGATGCAGTGGGACAGTTGAACTGGATAAACCCATCAGATTGAACAGGTATTTTGTGTGATCACACTAGGGCATTGTTGAAGTAGTTAACAAGATACTAACATGAGTGTCCCTCATTATTCACATGTAACAATGAGATCATTCACCGATTTACTAAATGTGGGTTTTTAACGCTTCCATTCATTATTAGTTTTGGCAGTATAATATTTAGTGACTTGAATGTAGTTATTCTTATATCTTACACTTATTGTTTCAGCATGAAGTTGGTATGTATGTATACGGTCATACATGGCATAGTAATTTCATCACTTACAGCAGTTTATTATATTACAGAGGATTCTCAGTACTTCTCTGTCAGTCTTGAAAACTATTCATATATATTAGAGACACTGAATTTGCTCTAAAGTCTGCAGCAAATTCAGAAGTTCAACTTTTATTGCATCTGAATGGTCAATAGCGGATGCCGGTATCATTTATTCGTGAATTTGTCGTTAAATCATTAGATAAAGTTGAATGGTATGGTCTGTCATTTATAGCAACTTTTCAGTTCTACGCTCGAATAACGATAGTCCATTCCATCTAAGAAAACAGCGTTAGAAACCATAGGGGATCGTTGACCTTCGCATCGATTGGTTGATTTTGAAAGCAATATTACACCTGCACAATATTATGGTATATTACGACATGACTTCAAGGTCAAAGTTTTCTTCTTTGTGAAATGGTCCCATGATCATTTCATTCATTTGCTTCACAATTTGAAGGTTGCAATAAATCCTGAGAAAGATACTGAATTCAGAGTGGAACTCAATCATTAAAATGGTCAAGTATTCTTAATTGGGTGCAATATTCACTTTTCGCCAGTGTGTGCATTCTTTCACAGGCAGCACCACTTGGAATGTAGTATAAATTAGATTATTATTGTTAATGCAAATGTGTGTGTTTTGTATATCTCATTTCTATCATGTTTTAAACGATTGTAAATGTTCCAATACATATTAACAAATTGTGAGCTTCTAAAACCAAAATGTGAATTTCAAACAGAGAACAAATTATTTCGACAGAAGTTAATTACTAACCTTTACTCACCTTAGGACTGTGAAAATAGGTAACTTGATATGGCTTATCATGAAGCTTAATCATCTTCATGAAGATGACAATGATGAAAACGACTCGAATAAATGGTTGATGCAGAGAGTGTCAAAAGTCAAAGAAAAACGTCTGCTTTGACTTCAGTTACGGTTTATTTTGGATCAAATTGGCAAGCGAGTTCCACTTTCCATTCATAGGTTCATCCAAAGTTCACAAAATCATGTTTTTCACTCGATATTTTCGAATAATCACACAAATAAAACAAAGAACAAGAACAAGAAAATAGAACTTACCGATTCAGGTGAAATAGTTCATTTTACTGAGATCTACCTCAAAAATTATTACTAGAAATGAGCTGAGGGGGCGGGTTGAAATACAGTGCATAACCATAATATCACCAGTCGGTATTATGAGTACTGATTTTTGGGTAGTTTTGCAAGATAGCTGAGGGTCCTCTATGAACTTGTATAAGTAGTAGATTTGAATAACGTTTTCCGTTGAATGCATGCTTGTTGTATCATCACGGCATCGTCTCAAAACTGCCGCTGAAACGAGTTATTGTTCAGATCTGAAGCCATGAAAAGTCAACAAGCCGCTCTAGCGAACAGCAAGTACGACCTGTCCAAATGGAGGTACTCCGAACTTCGCGATACCATCAATACGTCTTGCGACATAGAACTTCTGGAAGCGTGTCGTCACGAATTCCACCGTCGTTTGAAGGTGAGCATAACCTCAATAACATTTCTGACATATTGAACATATATCACGCACAAGATCACATGATCATGGGAATCACGTGATCATCATGCCGATCTTCATTCGTTTTGAGTTGATATTTCCCAGATTTACCAGATAACACATGGACGTCCGAAGAACGTTCGCAGGACGTCGACCTGAGGACCTTTGATGTTACTAAACGATCCGTGGACGTCCATTATAAGTCCTGGTTCAGATTGTTATGGACGTTTTCGGGATGTCTCGGATACGTTCATTACAGACCATTTGTGAATGTTATTAAGAAGATTATTTTATGGGAGGTGTCTTTCGACCCAAAAATTATATGAAAACAAGCATTTTCTAATAGGAACATAAAATTATCTAATATGTATTCATAACAGGTATACCGGGTGACACAGGGTATCGGGCCATCCCTGTAACTTCTGCATTCCTCAACGGAATTTTCTGAAATTCGGTACAGATATATAAGCAATTATTTCGGATTTGATCACATTACAAACCAATATGGCGGACTTCCGGTATTTCTGGAAATGCCAGCAACTTTGTTTTTTCAAATGAAACACCCTGTATATTTTTACATATTCAAGTTCAACAGGTCGAAACAAGTGCAATCTCTATTTCAAATGTCATTTTTTCGAAAACATTCAAATTAAAATTGTTTTTTCATTTTACCTCGTGGATAAATGAGATGTGGTCAAGACTATTCACAATGAGTCACACATAACAGAAGAACATCATTTTTTCTGAAAAATAATTTTTTGTGTCACTTATCCAGTAATCAATTCAGCCACATCACTTTTTGATCAAAAATATTTTTTTTTCAAATGGAACCCCTATGGGCCACCTACCCGTCTCTCTAGAACATACATTAAGGAACAAAATGACATATCATTTTTGTTTTTTGGTGCATTAACAAATTGTATACATTCAAAAATCAACAACTAGTTTATGAATTTCCTTGCAGTTAGAATAATTTTTCAACTAGGTAGGCTGTGGAATAAATGACATTTGACATCAAGATTGCACTTATTTTGACCTGTTGAACTTGAATATGTGAAAATATACAGGCTGTTCCATTTGAAAAAACAAAATTGCTGGCATTTCCAGAAAAACCGGAAGTTTGCCATATTGGATTGTAATGTGATCAAATCCGAAATAGTTGCTTATATAACTGTACCGAATTTCAGAAAAATCCGTTGACAAATGCAGAAGTTACAGCCCGATAACCTGTGTCACCCGGTATAGTATTAATTCATATTATTTATAACATATTTCATGCTCTCAAGAATTCAAAACCTTTCTGCTCGCCGATTTTCCTGAAGGGCCCTTTCACTAGTTCTCTTGAGCCATGCTAGCTAACTCAGTTTCACTAAAATTTTTAGTTTGCATTAAGAAATTATGAAGATTCACTCTATCATCTGCCATTTTTGATTAAATCGTTCAAAAAATATTCCTTCAATTGGAACTTTTTGTATATGAAAAATCCATCCAATCCGTTTAAAACTCAATGTTTTAGTGATTTTGGAGCATTTTTGAAATTCTTATATTTAAACATTATATATCATTTTGAAGGGAAAAAATAAGGAATTTGATGAGCTGATAAAATACAGGATGCTCCATTTAAGAAATCATAAGTTTGAGTCGTATCTCCAAAACCATACCCCGTAAAAAAATTCAGTGTGCTACTCGATTCTGCGTAAAATTCTCTATGCGGTAAGATTTTAATTTGACATTTTCGCTGAGAATCTTCGTAGATATAGAGGGGGTCCAAAAAGTATGAATTTTCAAAATCGTCCTGTATCTCAAAAACGGAAACAGTTATGCATAATATGATTAGGCCATCTTGAGTTTATCAAAAAAGTGGCACAGGACCGCGAAAACCACAAGATTCTATCTCCAAATATAACGCAGAAGGATCGAAAACTGGACACACTGTACGTCCTGAAAAAGTTCGACCATAAATGGGACGTTAAATGGACATCTTCAGGACGTCCTGTGCTATCTGGGTCGTGTCATATCTTCGAATTCAAAAGCTTCTGAGTTCTGACGGCAGTCAATCTCTTCTTGCAATCTGACTGGTGGAAGTTAGTTGTACCTGGGAGATATGCCGTTGTTGCCACACTTATTAAGATGCGTTGTTCACTATTGGATAGTTCACAAGTAATTTTCCTCTTTCCGAAGGTGTATCATGCCTGGAAGGCGAAGAACAAGAAGCGGACTGTCATGGACGAGAACGAGAGGGCGCCACGATCGGTGATGGAATCGGCAGCTAGAACGCCCAAAGTGATGCATAAGGCTGTTTTGGACAGTGTCAGTCAGAGATACTTTCGGATCCCCTTCCAACGGTAAGTGCCGAATTTCCAGCTCTTAGCCCTACAATTATATATCTTCTAATAGGGTATACGCGTGTGAAAATTTTACACTGGAATATATTGTTGTTCCATTACTCATATGTATAAATGTCGAATTATACATCCGAAAAACATTATTAAGCACCGAATATTTAATAATTTCTGATTGAAAATCATAATATTTGCAACTTTCCGACCAACAGCCGAACTGCAGCGATGATTTCCGACTGGATGTGGCTGTTTTTATTTGTCATGTCAAACATTCATGAGAAAAAGAGAAAGTGAGGTTATGATTATCTGAGCTTGTAGTTTCTATAATCTATCTCAATTATATTATGATATATTCTGAATAATAATAACTGAATAATAAGCAAATATCTACAATAAGAAGGATCAAACAGGACTTCTTTTTGCATGTTGTTTCAAATATATATTACCACCTATCAATTTATATCTCATATAGTTATCCATATCTTCTTCAAGCTGAAAACGAAATCACATATTATATTATTCTCCTAATAACATGAGGAACATAATCATTGATATATAATGGGTTTCACTAGGACATACTTGAACGTATACTCACTTGTAAATGGTCTTCACAAACAAATCCTCTGGTTTTCTGGGATAAATCATTTCTACTTATGGCTTGCAACCATAATTTTCTTTTCTCTTTATTTTTATCACTCGATCCCACTGGCAATGAAAGGAATATTTTTCCTGGCGATACTTTTGTTGATGAAAGGCTTTGCGGCACTAAACAGTATTTGGTATAAACATCATTTTCCATTTTCAAATTTCAAATTTCTGGCGTTTAAAACTGTTTTCTTCTCCTACCTCTTCTTCTTCTTTTTTTTTCAATCTGAATCTTGTCATTCTGTCGCGCTAGTCTATGGCTGTGTGGCCTAATACTATGACGTCATAATATTAGTGATGGCCACTAACCCGTTTTCCTGTGACTTCATATTTAGCCTCATTTAAATAAAATTTGTTAGAGTCACAAGCAAATTTGAGATTAATGAATGATATCCAGTGTTATTATAAGGAAGAAGGAATATAATTTCGATTAAACAAAAAATCATGCGTATTCCTTATTCTATATATGGCGCATCGCCAAAGCGATATCTCAACAAAAATGGGACCAAAATGAGAGGTAGTTTTTGAATCTATAAGGACGGAAAGTGAAGGATGGAAACAGCCATATTGGTTTGACTAGTTTCGTATTATTTTTTCCCTACGTCGGCATCAACGCCTATTGGTCGATTTCCTTACCTATAGAGACAGAAGTTGGTCCCGCTTTGAGGACAGCTATGCTTCATATATGAGTTTCACAATGCATGTTTTATTTTGTTATGGCTGAACACATTTTTTCTACAACCAATTTGACAGCATTGGTAGGTATATAATTTAATGCACCTTCTGATGTAGCAGATAGTGCAAACGTTGTAACATTGAATCTTTTATTCTTCTACCGGAGAAATCAAGGAATGAATATGAATTATAAGAGGCATACATTGATTGACTCATTTCAGGAAGAATAAAAAACTTTGATGTCATCTAGGTAACTTTCAATTACACTTTGAACAATATTAACAGAAAAGCAGTATCCTCACTTCTTGGTACGATAATAGTTTAGTTGGTATTTGTTGACTAATTTGTATTTTCTTTTTTTTTGTTGTTGCTGAGTGGCGTTTGCGAAAAAATCTTGGTTGTATTTTGGACTCAAAATGTTATTACTATCACTTTGGGCTCTAACCCACAAAGGACCACTAAAATCACCACCAGTCACCAGAAAAATTCCAGATTATTCTATTCCTCGTATTATCTGCACTTGATACTATATCCAGTATGAAGGAACTAGGTTCGGGTTTTGTAAAATGAGGTTCATCTGCTGAATTTCCCCAAGTTAATAGTGAAATGGTCAATAGATTTTCTCCTTCTAACATCGATATCAAAACAACAGGTTATGATATATATGGCGAAAATAAAAGACAGATAGTTTCTGTACGAGTACCTGAATTCGAAAAAATATGTTCCTATCTTATATTTCTCAATATCATGAGTTATTTTCGAAGGTTTTCATCTTGACTCAAACAAGCTATTGACATCCTGCAGACATTGATCAGAATATCAAGATATTTTGAATAATATCGGTTTACTAATGATCTTTAAATTGCAAAGCCTACCAAGTGTCGATATATCATCGAATTCATGTCACAGCCAACTTATTCTTTTTGAATAAAAAGCAGTTCAACAGCGAATTAAGAAATAAATGCCACTTTGTGATACATGGTTGGATAGAGAATTTCAAGGCGTGAAGAAATGTACAGGGTGACATTTAAAAAAAAAGTTGGGGTCACTTCCGGTCAAACAGGTGGTTGAAAAAAATGTCGTTAAGTTCGTAAAGTGCGCTACCATTTATTATATACCCCCTGTGACATTCAAAATTTTATCTCTTCAAATAAAAAAACTACCGGCTGCTACATGTCTCCCGTGTCACCCGGTATATGTGAAGTAAATTTCAGATCTCACCATTATTTTAATCCTTTGACGCCAGCAGGAAGTTGTTTTGTATATGGTTGCATTGAATTATTCATGTTAGATTTTGTCACGCTCAACATGCATTATCTGCGTTTTTAATGTCATGAAATATCATAGAATAACTATTAAAAACTCGTTTTTGAATGACTAATTGATATTCATCATACAGGACGTGGATAAAAATTCTGAATTGAGAAAACCTAATCACGAATCTGCGATAGGAGGTCTATAGAAATCCATCGTTCAAGTTTGAACCCCTTGATTGGGTGAAAGTATTAGAAAGGAATATTCTCAGATATAATTATGAACATAAAAAATGGATACATATACAGGGTGTTCCTAAACATCATGTACATCCGAAAGGGGGTAATTCCTCAGCTCATTTTAAGACTAAAAGTTCATATAAACATTGGTCCGCAAACGCTTTGTTACCGATCTACGGGGTGTTGAAATTTCAAGATTTTTTTTGTTTTTTCTTTATAGATCCTGCAGTTTTTGAGATATGTGGCTCAAATTTGAAACATAGATTATGTTATAGGGCTTACATCGATGGACATCTCAAATGTTTGTGAGAATCTATAGGGTGATAATTTTTTTTGGGTCATGCCCCCTTTTCTCCCCCTGAACTTTTTTGCGGTGCGCCGTTGATAAATTATAATATACAAAATGAATTTTTTCATTCATTTACAAACTTTTTTGTGTCTTGTAGTTTTTCCGTATCTAAAACTGTTGTCGAGAAAAAATGGAAATAGCAATTTGTGTATTTCGAGCGCAAAGTAATTGATTGTCGCTCGACAAAGAGAGTTACCGTGCAACGCGAAGCGGAGCGCGGTAATCTTTGGAGAGCAACAATGACACTTTGTGCTTGAAATACACACATTATTTTTTCTACAAACGCATCTTTCAGACAAAAAAAGATCGACACTTCATTCAAATAGGCACATAATATTATAATAGTATGAGAAAATGAATACTCAGTAGAAATTCGTAATGTATAAGCTATCCAAGTATCCAATAATTCAAATCTCAAACAGAAGAAAAAAGTGAAATCATTGCTTTAAAAAAATCCGATGCCGGGATCTGTTCCCGGGACCTGGATTTAAACCGACCAACGATAAGCTTAGCTCCAACGCAGATTCTCAGATGGCTATGAGTGTATTGTCTATACTTTCCATCATGAAAGAATAGATTTGTTTTCAAACAAATGCAGTGGAGAGCGAGCGTTTTTTGACAGTTCGTATGTGGAGTCGTTAGGTGTCTTTACATGTGTTTAAATTGTTAATTGTAAGGTGTAAATTTGTTATAAATACTCGTTATAGCCTCGTAACAATGCCAAATTATTCAAATGGCGATATGGCTGATATGCATTTTATTTATGGCCTTGCGAATGGAAATGCAAGAGAAGCCAGACGTCTATACATGGAGCGTTATCCCAATAGAATAATACCTGATCAACGAATATTCTCAGATATTCATAGGCGTCTTGCAGAAACTGGAACATTTAATAAAAACACTAATGATGGAGGTAAACCACGTACCGTTAGAACACCACAGATCGAAGAAGCTGTTCTACATGAAATAGAAGAACAGCCAGACACTAGCACCAGAAAAATCGCTAAAAATTTAAATATCAGTCACCAAGTTGTTTGGCGTATATTGCGTGAATCTCTACTATATCCATATCACATTCAAAGGGTGCAAGCGCTCCTTCCTCGAGATTTCCCTTCAAGAGTTAATTTCTGCCAGTGGTACCTTAATAGGATAGCAGTAAACCCCAATTTTGACTGTAAAATCCTTTTTACCGACGAAGCCAATTTTTCCAGGAATCAAATTATAAATTTTCATAACAACCACATATGGGCCGAAGAAAATCCACATGGAATTGTCGAAACTCATTTTCAAGAGCAGTTCTCATTGAATGTATGGGGTGGTATAGTTGGGGATCATTTGATTGGTCCTTTCTTTTTGCCTGGTCGGCTTACTGGAAACTCATACAGGCATTTTTTGCAATACGAATTACCTTTATTACTTGAAGCATAGACTTGAAGGCTTACCTCTTTTGCTCAGACATCAAATGTGGTATATGCACGATGGCGCACCAGCACATTTTTCTGTTTTGGCTCGGCAATATTTAAATGAAGTGTTTGGGGACAAGTGGATAGGACGGGGTGGACCTCAGTTATGGCCCCCTAGGTCCCCTGATTTAAATAGCCTAGATTTTTTTCTATGGGGGCATCTCAAATCTCTCGTGTATACAACACCAATAAATACCATCGATGACTTACGAAATCGAATATTAAATGCATTTGAAACTGTAAGAAATACTCCGGGGGTGTTTGGCAGAGTACGGGCATCAATGAGAAGAAGAGCGGACGCATGTATAAGGATTGGAGGAGGTCACTTTCAACAATTGTTATAACGTTATTTCCTTGTTATGTCTTTTATTTGGATGTTTTGTATAATAAATCGTTATTGCAAAAAAAAGCCTTTAGCAAACAGCGGCGAACAAAATAATTTTAGCGAATTACAAAAAAATTTCAATTTTTTTTTTCTCGATAACGGTCTTAGATACGAAAAAACTACAGGATACAAAAAAGTTTGTAAACAAACCAAAAAATTCAATTTGTACCTTAGAATTTACCAACAGCGCACCGCAAAAAAGTTCAGGGGGAGAAAAGGGGGCATGACCCATAAAAAAATATCACCCTGTAGATTCTCACAAACATTTGAGTTGTCCATCGATGTAAGCCCCATAACGTAATTTATGTTTCAAATTTGAGCCACATATCTCAAAAACTGCAGAATCTATAAAGAAAAACCAAAAAAAAAATTGAAATTTCAACACCCCGTAGATCGGTAACGAAGCGTTTTCGGACCTGAGTTTATATGAACTTTTAGTCTTAAAATGGTCTGAGGAATTACCTCCTTTCGGATGTACATGATGTTTAGGAACACCCTGTATATACAAAGAAATACATTGAGAATTCACATTCTCTGTGATGAAAATATCAATTCTTTCTCGGTTTGTTCAACAAAAAACAACTACTTCCTGTCTTCTGAAGTAGAGAATTTGGATTCTCCTTCATATGTATGTATATGCACATAATATCATCCTAAATATTCAACAGAAAACAACTACTTTCTTGGCTATTTGCCACGTCGTCGAATTATATCTGCCGAATATCCAAAAAGAGAGCATGAAAAATGAAAATCCTCTGAAATTGCGAATTGACATTATCTCTCAAATCGGATAAAATAATATGACGTATTATGGTCATATATCCATTTTTTCATATTCATAATTATATCTGAGAATATTCCTTTTCAATATTGAAGATTTCTTTTTGTTAGTATACCTACTTCAAAATGTTGCAATAGATACTTTCTTTGAAACAGGCCCGAATTTTTCAGTGGGTACTGTAGGGTCAAATTCTGAGTGGGTTTAGCGTGTTGATGACTGTATTTCTAATATTTACATGAGTAGGTTTTCTATCTGTCGGCAACTTGACTAGAAACCGTCAGAAAAAATGACTCATCCATATCAAGTTGCCTTGTAATCCAATTTTCGTTGTAAAGGCGATTATATCCGGATGAAAAATTACCTTTCTTGTCTTCACCAGTGAACCGATAACTAAAATGACTAAAACCTGAAAAAAAAAGTATTATCACTAGGATATTCATAGTTTGCACACATGGGCGTCGCCAGAAAATTTTCCAGAGGGGGACTGGACTTGACTTTCGAAGATATTTGAAAAAAACCGACTATCCTCGATTTCATTTTTATTCTTTTCTGACTTTATTTGGAGTCATATGTCAAAATGAATGTCATATTAGCATTGCCACCTTTTCTGCTCTATCCAATGGCATTGATAGATTCATGATCCGACGTTTCGTCTTCGAGGAGCCATCATCAACTTTGTTTTTTCAAATGGTCGAAAAAAATGTTTCCTTACGAAAAACTCTAATTCCAAGTCTGAATCAAACTACATATAAGACTTTGCAATTATCCTACGTTTCGGACCAAACAATCATTATCATTGTTATTTCATGATGGTTACGAGGAAACAGAACGTCGGAACAAAAATCTGAAGACGGCGTCTTGTAGAAAAGGAAAAATGACTGCGAAAATGTCGAATTCATTTTGGTCTCTCTCTAGGTCTATCTCTAATTTAGTTTTCAATAAAAACTTATTCTCTAAGTTTCTTATTCTAAGAAATAATCTTTTTCTGATTTTACTATAAGAGATAGACCAAAATAAATTTGACATTTTCATAGCCATTTTTCCTTTTCTACAAGTTGCCATCATCAGATTTTTGATTCGACGTTTCGTTTCCTCCTAACCATCATCAAATAACACTGATAATGATTTTTTGGTCCGAAACGTGAGATAATTGCAAATTGTTATATGTCGTTGGATTCAGAATTGGAATTAGAGTTTTTTTAGTAACAAAAAAGTTCTTTTCGGCCATTTAAGAAAACAAAGTTGATGATAGCTCCTCGAAGATGAAACGTCGGAGCACGTATCTATTAGCGCTATTAGATAGAGCAGAAAAAGTGTTGATGCTAATATGAAACTCATTTTGACATATCACTTCAAATAAAGTCACAAAAAATAAAAACAAAATCGCGGATATTCGGTGTTTTCCATATATCTTCGGAAGTTTTCGGTATTTCCAAACTTTTGAGGCGGCATTTTGATCAGCATGAAATTGCGCAACTTTGCCATAATTCAACTGACCCTGTATCTCTCACGGTTTACGAGATCCCAATGATGAGCCTCGAATTCCAGCCACCCTGTACATTAAAATACGGTGTACCCGATCAACTTGAGATAGCGGAAAGAAATTGATGAAAAATCATTTCAAATGATTTTCCAAATTTTGTAATCGGTTCGAAAATAATTGAGCTAGTGGGGAGTGGCATTAATGGTGAATCACCCGGTACAGGGTTCACTGTTTTTATCGAATCTGAATCGATCAATGACATTAATAATCATTCTAACAATGTACAAACTTCACAAACGATAAGATTTCTACGAAATTCTTAAACACACAACATATTTTGCTAACACAGTAGCTTCGTCAGGTGATATACTGGTACCATATATCTACTACCCATATATGAATCATAGCTGTTCTCAAAGCGGGACCAACTTCTGCCTCTATGGGTAGCGAAATCGACCTATAGGCGTTTATGCCGACGTAGGGAAAAAATAATACGAAACACGGAACTTGTTGAACCAATATGGCTCCATCCTTCACTTTCCGTCCTTTATAAATATATGACTGGTACAGTCGCATTAAAAAAAAGCGTACAAGTATATTACAGAGAGAAATTAACGTCATCCTATTCTGCATAAAACGGGCTATCGGGAATGATTGTTCACCAAATGTTGACAGTGAAGTTGTCATAGGTTCTCGAAAACACAAAGCATTGGCTGAGCCAGTTTCACACAACTAGAACTAGGATCCCGAAATCCTCTCTTTTTAATACTTGTACGCTTTTTTATTGAATTTGACTGTACAATGAACTGATTCATTCATTCATTCAATCTATGATTCATTGTACCTGTATATCACCTGACGAAGCTACTGTGTTAGCGAACATGTTGTGTGCTTAAGAATTTTTTTTTTGGGGAAGGACGATTCTTGGGTTTTTGGATTCGTGGTAAATAATAAGTATGTATTTTATTTCATTTGAAACGTTTCGCCTATGGCCATAGGCTTTTTCAATCTTTAATAATGGTTATACATGAGAGATTTAAAAAATAACTGGTCTGGAAAAAATTGAAAGAAAATCAGTAGGTAGACATTCTTTTTTAATTATTTTAGGTACGTACCTCAACCAGAGCTATTGTTTTTTGTGCATTATTTTGTTTTTCTTCTTGTTCATAATGGTAATTATAATATCCTGCATTGGAAGGTGAGGAAAACGTGAAAACGTGTTCAATGTTTTTTGTTTTTCTTGAAAATCGTGTGATTTTTGGTTTCAAATGGAATAAAATACATACTTATTATTTACCACGAATCCGAAAACCCAAGAATCGTCCCTCCCCAAAAACCATATAGAAGGATTCAAGATTGCATTAAAAAAGTAATTTGAGAATTTTGTGGAAATCTTATCGTTTGTGAAGTTTTTACATTTGCCATGTATTTCCATCAAGTAACGGCCGATTTGATTCAAAACATTCTAACAGTAACTAACTTTTCCTATAGGCCTGGTGCTGAAACTGGAAGAGGTTGGTGGTACGCGCACTTCGATGGACAGTATGTTGCGAGGCAGATGGAACTTCATCCTGATAAATCTCCAATTCTGCTGGTCGCAGGTAAGCTGAAAACGATATTTTATCGAACAATTTGATGACGTAAATGTGTATTCATAGGGTGCCAAAGATGAGCAAACCAATTGCAAAACATTTGGTGTAAGTAGACCTAGTTTTTGCATGAAGGGTGATGTTTTTTTGGCGTTAATAATACAATAATCTGTCTGTCTGGTACAGTACTCCTTTTCTCCCTCTTATATTCAGAAAAAGTTACTTATAAAGCATCATTGTTTTGCATGTCATCCAGGTAGATTCAAGCCAGGTGTCATAATTCATGCTTTTTAGGACGTCATGATCAAGAGAAAAAATTTCGGTCAAATGACATGTCAACTCTTTGATGACATTCACTGCATGACGTATCATTTCACAAGGAAGATCACTGAATTCAGAAACATACAAAAATACAAACTATTCGTATTTTTCCTGGAAAATTTTCAGTTCTAAAAAATTAAATTTTGTCGCACTTTTTACGGAAGCAACCCCGTATCTTACGTAATTGACTTTATCTTTGGACTTTCCCTTCCTCCTGCAAATAGGGGTGCTTCCATGAGAAGTGAGACAAAATTCAATTTTTCTGAACTAACAATTTTCTAGAAGAACTATGAATAGTTAGTGAATTGGGCGTCCTGATTCCGAATCTGAAGTGTGAATTGGGCGTCCTGATTCCGAATCTGAAGTGTGAATTGGGCGTCCTGATTCCGAATCTGAAGTGTGAATTGGGCGTCCTGATTCCGAATCTGAAGTGATTTTCATCCTATTTTGACTCCTAATATCATTTTACGGAAATTGGGGTGGTTCCATGGCGGTTGGCGAGCAGTGAATATCACTGAAGATGACCACACTTGGTCATCGAGTATATTTTTGGAATATCTCTCGCTTCAGCAAATTTCAGGATCCTTACCCAACGATTACGTAAGATACAGGGGTGTTTAAGTGAATCACACTGTATAATGATCTGAACCAGAAAGTCTTTAAATAAGTATTTAAATGCTTGAAAGAAAGAATTCGTATACAGTGTGTCCCACTTACCATACTCACAATGGGTATCTTTTTAACGGTGAGAGATACGAGGTCGGTTAAATGACACCAAATGTGGAGTTTGTCAAGGCCAACTATAATGTGGAAAAATATTTTGATCATTTTCATGTCTCCTCCGTAACTTCTTTATTTATGAAAATATTCAAATAGGAATTTTCAAATGTAGGTCATAGCTCACTATGAGTTACAAATAACTTTTTTTCTCTCACAGATGATATGTCGCAGTAATAGTTTTGTGTTGATAACAACGGAGTTATCGTCATTTATACAAAAACAAAAAATTATTTGAAAGCCGCCATCTTGAATTTATAAATTTTAACAAGAAAATCATGATCTCTGACCTCAAAAAGCCCCACTCACCAATTTTGAATGGAATAGGACCAAATCTTGTCCGCCATCTTGGAGCAGCCATTTTTTTTTTAATTTCAACAAAAATTCCATTATGTATTGTCACCGAAATTATGAACACCTGCCAAATTTCAAGTTGATCAGAGTTATGGAATTTTTGTTGAAATTAAAACAAATGGCTGCTCCAAGATGGCGGACAAGATTTGGTCCGATTCCATTCAGAATTGGTGAGTGGGGGTTTTTCAGGTCGGAGATCATGATTTTTTTGTTAAAATTTATGAATTCGAGATGGTGGCTTCCAAATAATTTTTGTTTTTGTATAAATGACGATAACTCCGTTGTTATCAACACAAATTTATTACTGCGACATATCATCTGTGAGAGAGAAAAAAGTTATTTCTAAGTCATAGTGAGCTATGACCTACATTTGAAAAACTAAAGTTGGTGCTGATATATCAAATTCTAGAAGAGTTGGTATAAATTTCATATTTTTTTCGAAATCACTTTGGAAAACTGCCATGAGAATGTGAAATTCCTATTTGAATATTTTTATGAATAAAGAAGTTACGAAGGAGACATGAAAATGATCAAAATCAGTTTTATGCGTATAAAACAAGAATGAATAGATTATATCAAAATATTTTTTCACATTATAGTTGGCCTTGACAAACTCCACATTTGGTGTCATTTAACCGACCTCGTATCCCTCACCGTTAAAAAGATACCCATGGTGAGCATGGTAAGTGGGACACACTGTATACCAATAATGCCCTGCCCTGGTTGCCTGGTTTGATAGGGTTATTTCCAACGATTACGAAGATATTCGCGTTCTAAGTTTCCATTTGCTCAATGAGTGTGACAGAGAAAGAAGTTTCGATATTGCGATATTGAGCATAGAAATTTCGACCCCAAATATTTTCGTGATCATTTGAAATAACCATATAAAACCCGGTATCGTTGAATTCGTCATAATAATTCCTAACCGATTATGGAATGAAATACAGGGTGTCCCATTTAAAATTCAAAAGTTGGGGTCGTTGCGTACTACTATTTTTACTACTTCCGGTAAATCCGATCTCGAATAATCAAGAAAATACAGCACTGGCAGTTTTTTTTGTTGTTCTCTGTATACTCCCTACTACTACTACTACCACTGTTTTTAATGAAATATCACGAGTAATAAATAACACCCTGCATTTTCTGTATGTACTTCTGAAACGTCTTGCCAGCTTGATTATTGTAAATTTTTTTTATAGGAAAAGATGATATGCAAATGTGCGAGTTATCCTTGGAAGAAACTGGGCTTACAAGAAAACGTGGAGCGGAAATTCTGGAGAACGAGTTCAACCGTGAATGGGATAAAAATGGTGGACAACCATTCGTTCGTCCGGCCGACAGAAAATAGAATCTGTCCTGCCAACCTTTTAGAAGTTTTAACAGAATTTATGAAAGTATTAAATTTTTTCGCTTTACTTTTACAGTATTAAAGGGAGTTATATTGTATTTCTACAAAAAAGAGAATATATTTGAAATTTTAAAGTTTTGACGTTTTTAATTTATCCTTTTCCTGAACTGAGTTATTATTCGCTTCAACAAATAGATGATCATTGCTTGACAGGAAATCAAATGGCTACAAAGACGAAGAAATCGAAAATGCCGCTGTTATCTATTATAGCCGTAGAAAAGTTATTTGTAGCCGAGGCTAGGAAACCAGCCAAGGCATTACATACTTTTTTCTTCAAATTCTTTTCAATTTTACGCAAAGTCCAAATAATCCATAATTTTTTGTTCACCCAAAGTCATTGGCAATTTTGATCACAAATTTGATCAAATTACTTAGAACGTTGCATAGCAACAAACTTTTTCTGCCTAGGCAGTAAAAGCACACCCTTTCTGCCTGTAGAGTGTTATTAAAAATCCACTTTCAATGTCATTTGGAGAAAAAATTAATTAAATTAGTATGTATAACTAACACGGAATGCTAATTTTCTACTCGAATCATTGCAGCATTCCCCTATGGCTCATGCTGCAAACTTCATTCTCATAGGAAATCACTATCATTCCGTGCTCGTTAAACAATATACTATTGTTCTTCAAGCGATAAAAAAAAAACCATCCGCTTTTCTTAGGAACTAATATCCAGACTAACATTCCAAAACATATACGATCAGGTCGAAATTTTACCAAACTCGGACAAGAATTAAAAATAATACAGGGCGAACAATTTGGCAAAATTTTTTGATGGTATGATGTTTTCACCGGAGAGTGAATTAATATCAACACATTTTCTTTTCCGCACTAAAACTAGTGAGGACAAGATTTTTTACTCACTAAAATGTCCGCACTAGTGCGGAAATGTGAATAAATTGACTTTTCCGCACGCTAGTAGAAAAAAGATTTCTGAAGTGGATTTTGACCATACCAATCGAAACGGGAAGCAATAATTATTAGACCTAAATTGAATCCGTTTAATCGTCCATGGGTCTGGAAGTCGAAATATCCAGTGGTTTCCGAGACACGGAAAATTTCTTGATAAAAAAGGGCCACAGAGGAAAACCGAAAAACTTTTTCGAATGCGCAAGGAGAAACTATAAACGATTACATAATTTGAAAATAATGAATAATAATGATAAAGCGGCTTTATTCATCATATCAATTTCGATACATAAGAAATACGAAGCATTCAAATAAATAAAAAAAAGAACTGAATGATGAAAAGGCGAAGTGTCAGCTATGGCTGTTTTTCAACGGTGCGGTACCTTTTTTGAAAACAACATCTAGTATTATTGCGATACCTTCAATGAAAAATACGATCTAGTACATTGGAAAATCGTTTCATTCTTCGTTTTAGAATATTAAATTTTATCGTTAAATTTTTTTTTTTACAATTTTTGCAAATATTTATTCAATTTCTCAAAATTGGATCATTCCAATCGAAATTGGATGCAATAATCACGAGACCTAAATTGAATCAGTTTAATCGTCTATGGGTCAGGAAAACGAGATATCCAACGGTTTCCGAGGTAAAGAGATTTTTTTGGGAAATAAGTGCCTTATTAGACGACTCAATTAAATTTTCGGATACACTGGGTCAACTATAAACGACTGCAAAAATTGAGGTATCTATGCTGATGCACAATTTATATTAGTATTGAGGTACCTTCTATTGAAAAAATACGATTTAGTACATTGTGGAGATCTTTCTGGAGATGACTGTTATTCTACTGCTTTATTGACCTGTAATATTGCTAAGACCCTACAAATACCAGCTTGCTTCAACCTCTTAAGAGATTGTCCCAAATACGTAATATGTACAGAGTAGATAAGCACACATATACCTATAGATGAAAAAAAAATGAACCGACTCTGGATCTGAGGAATTAAAGGTGGTCTGCCATGGTTCTACACGAGTGGGTGTAGTGGGGAGAATACTCATATATGTTGGGAAAGTAAAGAAGAAGGAATCAGCATATCTTTTATTGTAATGAAAGTAGTGATCCAACAACTAAGTGTAGTTTATTGTCTTCAAAAAAAAATAGTCATTTCTTGAAATCTTTGTGGAGATGACAGCGTTTTTCAACTGGATATCATCATTGACATGTAAGTGCTGGTACCCAACAAAGATCAGTTTCTTTCCACCTCTTTTGGACATTATTGGACTTTAGCTGAGTTCCGAGGAAGAGGTTCAAACCACAATTATTAGTAGATGGTCGTCTATAGGTTCTAACACGAAAGGGCATGAGAGCTCGAATGAGAGTATTCTTAAACTGGCCGTATCTGAGCCATGTAGATCAAGAGAAGCTGTTGAGGTGTTTTTGTGAAGCGGCTTTCGCTATGGATCGGGCATGATTTTCCCATGAAAGACAATCACTGATAGAAATACCGAGTATGCATATAGCATATAGTGGTCTTGTTTGGGAATGGTGGTACCAGAAATTATTGAATCAGGCATAAACTGATTTTCGCCTTTCTAGGGAAAACGCATGCTTCAGTTTTGGTGGCGTTGAATTCAACTAAGTTGTTGGTTCTCCAGCCTGTAATTTTCGCAAGATCTTCATCGACAGCGCTGACCTGCCTTCGTCCTGAGTTCTTAGTTTCCTGGGAAGACATGGGAATTTAAGAAGGGAACGCAGTGTGGAGAGTACTATCGTCATGATTCGAACAAAGCTGTCCACAAAATGATCCATCACCCAAGCAGCTGCGGTTTGTCCTCCCCGCACCAAGGTGAGGTTGTGCTTTGAGGAAGAAGGAAACAAGCAGAGTCGACCAAAAGAAGACGAAGGGTACTTCGGGATTACCATTCTCGAACCCACGAGTAGTGAGCCCCTGAGAGTCAATGAGATTACTACCCGGAGAGAGACTGGAGCACAGAATCCATCCAAGCACTGGGAAATAATACCATTAAGGGGCGGGTTTAAAACACCCGAGAGAACTGGATCAGGAGTGTTTGGACCTCGCACTAAATATTCCGAACCGATAGGCCAGTTCCCCAGCGTTTTTCAAGTGGAAAAATAAAGGAAGGTGCATCAAGTTCAACCTCTACGAAAAATACCGGAACAAGGAAATCGCTATCCTCTCCGACAGACAAGCAGCCATCAAAGCGTTGAGCTGTTTTAACATCAACTCAAAGAAAGTTTGGGAATGCCTAGACAAACTCAACAATCTAGGCAGAAACAATGAGATAATCTTCTTCTGGAAGCTGGGGCATACTGGAGTGGAAGGAAATGAACAAGCAGACATTATATACTGGCACGACAAGGAGCATCACTGCCACTGATCGGACCAGAACCATTCTGCGGCCTTGAAAATTCTTATTTCCAAGGAGAACTCAATGAAGCTGAGGAAACAATGGGAGTAACACACTGGCGAATACTTTCAGGACAGCAGCAGGCCAGAGATCTCGTCGGCGATTTCAACCGAACAAGATCGAAGACACTGATTTTCATCTGCAAAATTAGTCTCAAGGCAAATTGGGATTTGTAACAAGGCATTACAGAATTGAGGACATCTATGAAAGCTGCGGGGAATATCCAGAAATACCCCACCACATCCTGCTGGAGTGTGATGGCTGTACATCACAAAAGATCTAATATACTGAGAATATACCAGCTGACCGTGGAAGAAATATCACAAAGAGATCATCTCAACATCCTCAGATTCCTTAGAAAATTGAAGCTTGGGGGGCTGCTATAAAGAAGAAAACCTTGAGGTAGAAGAAGAAGATAAGGCACACTAGATTTAATCAGGTCGGAGTGCATCACTCCTCAACACCAATTAGCTGCTTCAGGTTGTCCGTGGAGGCAGGCAAGAAGAGGCAGAACGGCCTCTCGCCGCCTCTGTTCATCGAACTATAAACAAGAAATACTTGGGATAGCAGAAAAAGATGAGGCACAATAGATTTGATCAGGTCGCAGTGCATATCTATCACCAATACCAATCACATGCTTCTGGTTTTCCGTGGAGGCAGGCAGGAATAGGGCAGAACTTCTTCTCGTCGCTTCTGTTCCAGAGCTATAAACAAGAAAACCTTGGGATAGCAGAAGAAGATGAGGCACAATAGATCTAATCAGGTCGCAGTGCACCTGTCACCAATACCAATCACCCGCTTCCGGTTATCCGTGGAGGCAGGCAGGAAAAAGGCAGAACGCCCACTCGCCGCCTCTGTTCCAGAGCAACGAACAAGAAATCCTTGGGATAGCAGAAGAAGATGAGACATAATAGATCTAATCAGGTCGCAGTGCACCTGTCACCAATACCAATTAGCTACTTCAGGTTGTCCGTGGAGGCAGGCAGGAAGAAGGCAGAACGTCCTCTCGCCGCCTCTGTTCCAGGAAAGGACGACTGCGCACGTCCCAGGATAACGTTATCACCAGAACCGTAATGGCGCCCACTGCCTGTCCTGTGTCGTAGTTAGTCGATAGCGAGCGATCATGAAGTCAATCCTTAGCGTAGTTTATCGCGGCAACCACCGACCGAGACCTAGCGGGTAGTGCATCGTGCCAGACCTGTCGGAATAAAATCCAGGAAGCAGGGCACCCCATGATGTCGCTTCTTAGTGTTACAGGTAAGGCGATGCGAGGATATCCTTCTCCTTGCCGGGATCCTTGCTCCCCAACTGTTTACCTCCTACAGCACAATGCTATTTTTTATGCATAACTCGATCAATATTATTATCGCTGGCGAATTAGTGTCGCAGAATTGATGATATGCCTGATATATGAATCGGGTAGCGGATTGGGGTGAGAGTGGTTTGCGGGATTTTAGCTTGACAGTCGGGATATTGCGGGACGTTTTAGGTTAGCGACCCCGAGAAATGGCAAACGCTATTTTTAGATCGAATCGTACTCACCTTATTCCATCCAGCACCTAGGGACAAATGTTGATTTCGTCGGTTTCTGCTTTCGT